CAATTAGTCAATTCTCGAGTCCTGCCCGATAACACTGTTCCGTCCCAAGATGCATCCATTCAATTTACAGCCCTTACCGACAACGACGCCCTCCATAAGCACGCATTTCACTAGTTTCGCCCCTTCCTTAATGTGACAATTGGCGCCCACAACACATTCCTTGATTGAACATTTCTCTTCAACTTTTACATTCTCTGCAAGGAGGCAATCGGGTCTGGTGACCGTTGTTCTTTGAGCAATACCTTCGGGGTATATCACCTTGCTTGAATGTGCAAAGGGGGCGGCATCACGACCCGCTGTGTCAATCGCCTCGAGTTTCGCCAACTGAAGCGACACCGAGAGGAGCAGAGGCGCTGTATCGACTCTTCTGATCAATTGCGCAGCTCCTGATTCTGGAGATTTTGGATGTATGTATGCGAGGAATCGGGGGACGTCAGGCTTGGCATTCTGGCTCGGTAGGGAATTTTGAAGATCAGACGTCCAGGTACTGCTCTTGCTATGAAACTCTCCATCGTTTCGAGACGTGTGATCTGAAGACGAGTCATCGGCGTGAGCTGAAGCAGCCAAGTTGAATCCATCTTCAAATCCAAGTTTGTTTGCAAGTCCAACCTGCCATTCTGCCTTTGCCCACCAACCAATTACATCTTCTCCAATACTGTCCATATGCTCATTGCTGTTGACCATATCGACCACCCATCTTGGAAATATGTAAATATGGGCATCTCGATGAGAGCTTCTCATTTTGATCCTAGGATGAGCTCGCAATAAACCATGTCTTATAGCAAGACTGTTCTTTGACGTTGTGACATCTTTAAGGGTATCTGTAGGGAGTGAGTATACTAGGTTCGAAACGTATGATGCGATGGACTTTTTGGCTGGTGGTATGATGCTACTTTCAAGCGGTGCGGTGGCGATAAAATCAGTTTCTTCGCCTTTGATGACCGTCTCCCCCTTGGTATCATACCAGACACCCAAACCACCTTTACGATGAGTCTCCTCATCAAAACCGTTCGAATCTGCTCCAGCACCGGTAGCATCACCGATACCGATATTGCTACGCATCCACACTTCGAGAAGCCTCTGACCTTCGAAATCACAGACCAAGTCACATGGTAAGATAACAAAATCCCCTTTGATGATGGCTTGAACTTCCGGAAGCCGTAATATCTGAGCAGTTCCCGTGGTAAGAGTGAGGTCTTTTGGCGCAAGAATTGGTTTTGAGAGATCCAAGTTTGTGAGATGTGGATTGATATTGAAGGCTTTTGTGAGAGCTACTTCACTAGATGGAGGTGTGATAATTGTGATATCTGAGATATTGTCAGTCACGCTTTATTCTGAGTAGAAATCTTTCAGCGAAGAAGAAGCTCTATTCTAACGTTGTCAAAGGCTGTTTTTTCTCAGAGGAGCTACTGGACCCTCGTCCGTCACAGATGCGCCTGAGCAATTCATCACAGTTTCAGGCAACTTGAGATCATCGTGTAACTTGAAGACTAAGATTTAACATACTTGTAATGCCCATTCGATAACAAAAGTCTATGGGATACCACACCATAGGTCTATTGGCAACGGGGAGAAGAGCTTTAGGAGTCTCTCCCACAGTGAATGTCGGAAAAGATGATCCAGGACCGCATAATATGATGGCTTGCAGCCCTGGGGGCGCAATATCGGGATATGAGGCGTGAGGCATGATTGTGAAGCGTCTTCTATAGCGGGCGTGGATTGTGTAGATGGTCAAAAGTATATTTCGAGATTCGTCGTGATTGTGACTCATCCAATCAAAATTCAGGATGTTGAGAAAAATCCTTAGTCAGAATATCACGTGCCAGATTAGCTATATCTGTGATATTACATTTCATTGAATCTGTAGAAGATGGATGAAAAGATGCCAAATATATGAAGAATCTAGATGAAAAACGTTTATTTATGATTATATAGAAGTTTGAAAACTAGTTGACTAGAGCAATTTGAACACTTTCTATGTTTGATCGTATTTTGGCTACAACAATAAGAACAGAACGCTCTACAGTTAAGATTTATTGCAACCACGTACAGTATCGCCAACACATTATGACATTCATCACGTGCTCGAACCTCGGCTGACGGTCGCGCTGGAAACTGAGTCAACAAGCGGAGAGTTTCCCAGCCTCACCATTTCAAGACGAATCTTCCATGCGCCATCTCTCCTGTCAGCATCGAGACGTTGCGCGCGGTCTCCAAACCTACAAGATCGCATCGATTCGAAAATACAATGCGCAATTGAAACAACGTCATGTCATACTCGTACGACCGCACCACGACTCGCAGAACCGGATCCTCTTCAACGCGTCGGGGCACTTTCTCATATTGGGTGCCCCTAGCTTTAACAGTCACGGTTGCGACGGTGGGAATTGTTGCTTGGATATGGAGTGAACGAAATGATGATGATGACGAGGAACCGAGACCAGATATTGGACCAGATCCGTACCAGCAAAATGCAGGATATGGCAGAAATGAGGATGGAAGTGTGAGGTTAGGACCGCCGTCTTATGCTGGCGGGGTGCGACCGGGTGAGGTTGGATATGGAACCGTTGAAAATCGGCCAGAGGAGTCGCAGAGTTACATGGCACGGATGTCGGGCGCATTGAGGAGAACGCCCAGTCCACAGCAAGTTTTTGATGGAGTTAGTAGGACTGTGGTTGGAGGTGTTGTTGCTGCTGGTGCAGTTGTTGGAACAGCACTTTCTTCGATTAGGGAGGAAGACAAATCAGCCTTTAAGGATCACCAAAGATGGTCTGAAGAAGCAGCATTAAGACGTGCTGGTGTCGACCCAGCAGCGCCAGGTCCTATTGATATGCGATCAACTGATAGTGTTCCTCCTGTCGCGACAACATCAAAGTCAACTACTGGTGGAAAGAGAAAGACTGTAGCGATTGTTGTATCGGCGGAGGATAACATTGCGGATATGGAGGACGATGATGGATTCCATGAGCATGCAGTATGAAACCCGGCTTCACAGTTTTGGAAAATACTGACACGCCTAGTCCATTCTTTCACATTTACATTCAAACACCGATTTCTCAAAGATTCGGCTATTCGTCCTGATATATGCACCTGGCTTGAAAGAGCATCCTCTGGACGTAGCTTCACGTCCACCACAGAGTCTCAGCTCCTCATTCTCTAATATTGGTCATGATCAAGCTCAATCACCAACACCTGGAGAAGAAGAAAAGCAATTGTATGTATTTTCCGAAGAGCATGGAATAAAGCTAATTTCCGTGGGGCAAGTCAATCTAGCTCATCGCATTTCGATGCAGTATATAAACAAGCCAAATCGTTGGTGGAGAAGGACACAATGGTTCTCCCATTTACTACACCAACTGGACACGTTCATATTCTTCGTCACCTTGGCCCAGAAGTTGTCTACCTCCAAGAATCGCTTGCGGGTGCTAATGGTGAGATCATCACACATCTCCAAAGCTGGCTACGACAAGACGTTGTTCTCGTCGTTGGCGCAGAGGGAGGGCATGGAGGCCTTGCAGATAGTGAGTCGGAGGCGGAACAAGCGCCAAAGAAAGACCAGTGGTGGGAGAAAGAGGAGAGAGTTGGTCGAGGAAGAGGTGTGGTCGTGGTGGAAAGTGTAAGAGTTGGCGACGATTGGGCTCGTCGGATCGAAAATAAGGATTAATGATGGGAGGTGTTTTGTTTTGTTAGCGACAGGATATTAATTCGGATATAGGCGAAATCTTTTGATGTTCATACGAATTATACACTTCTATTTGTTGGATATGACCTACGTCAAATTCACAGCCACCTTCTCAACCTTGCGTTTATTCTTCTTCGTGATACCCCATTCTGACCGCATTGGAGATCCTTGCTGGTTATTGATTTGATTCTGCGCATCTAACGCCCGAGAGTATTAATTTCAATGAAACATGCTACCATCCACGGACTCGATTCTCTATATAAGCCACTATCATATGCTGCAAGTTATCGTATCATACCAACACTCGTTGGCAAACTGCCTCGCTTACCACCCAAATGGCCAAAACTATCGACTTTCCCCTGCCAGCTGGACAATATCAGCCCTGAAGGTCTGTGGACGGGTCGTATTTTGGAGGACACAGCCCAGATCAAGCGCGAATCGCACAACTTAAACGGTGTGCTGCTGCCGGTGTGCAAGTGAAACGGTTTTATATTTATATATGTTGTAAGAACTGCTTTGAAGAAAGTATTCCAATTGTAATCCTCTTCGTTTACTCTGAGCTGCATTCGCGATACTAGTACACTTGAATCTTTACTTTGCAAGATGTGGACCTGGGAAGAGTTTGGAGAGAAAGTCGATAGATTCTTCAGCTACATGTGTGTAGGTTGCCAGCCTGGGAATTGTGCTTGTTGTTTTTGTGACGGTTGTGGTGGTGGTGGTTGCTGTTGAAGATCTGGGTGCAGGTCGGCAGTTAATCAAGCTCGTCGAGGGATTCTGTCCTTGCCAATTGAAGATACTCGGACTTTACTTCAATTGGAGTTTGCCGTCTTTGTTGCGAACAAGAGTCAACTGTTTACGACTTTGAATTCTTTGGAAATTCCAAGGTTGAATTCAGCTACAAATCAAGGTGGATCCCTCAAGCCAATGCCTGTGGGTCTCGCTTCCCCTCCACATCGACACCCCACCATCATCACCAAAGCTCGACTGCGACATCACCTCGCTTTCCTTTTCCAATACACAACACCATAATGTCGCACGCACGTATAGAAGAGGTCAGCGATAGCGACCTAGACAGCGATCCACCAGAGGAAGATATCGATGACCTAGACGACGATTTCGACGAGCGCGACATCCTCAAACGAAGAGAACCAACGGGACCACGACCATCGCAAGTCCCTCCACCAAAACCAAGCTCCTCCCTCATTAATCCCGCAAATATACCCTCTCGAGCGAATGATCCCCGTATAAGTACATCGAGCGACGGCACGCAATTTCACACCACAGAGGACGACAGCAGATACAAAGATTTCCAATGCATATACCCCGTTTATTTCGACAGTCGCAGGAGCAGAAAACAAGGAAGAGAGGTAGGGAAAGAATTGGCCGTGGAGAATCCGATGGCGAGAGATATTGTGACGGCGTGTGGGAGATTGGGACTGGAGACGCTGTTTGAACCTGCGAAGTTACATCCGAAAGATTGGGCGAATCCGGGACGGGTGAAGGTCAAGGTCAAGGGAGGGAATAACAGGAATATCAAGAATAGTATGCCTGGTTTAACTCTGAGAAGTAGAAAGAAGCTAACTGAATAGAACACCATCTATTCATCCTAATATCTCAATACCTCAAGGCCAACCCCACAACCACCGAAGCCGCAATCAAAGTCAGAGTTCCAGGTGTACCACCGCCAGATCCAAGTAAACCATATCCTAAACCTGCGGTACCGAAGGGATGGAAGATGAACGATATCCTACCTTATTATAGTCCTGCGATTACAGGCGGTGGAGTCAGTGATAATTTCTTCAAGGATATGATGTCGGAAATGCAAGCTGCGGGAGGTGCACCCGGAGGTGGAGGAATGCCTGGCATGCCTGATATGGCAGCGATGCAGGCCATGATGGGCGGCATGGGCGGTGGACCTAGTGGAGGTGCTCCTGCTATTGAGTCGAAGAAGAAGGACAAGAAAAAGACGAAAGTTATTAGGGGCTAGGTTGCGGAAATAAACGAATTTGTTGAATGTCTTCGCATTTCACTATATAGGTATGAGATGTAAAATCAGGCATTTATATCTTCTTCTTACTCCCCCCCTTCCCACTTCTCTTCCTCGGCTTATAGATCTCATATCAATTTTACTTCTCGCGCTCTTACTACTCCTCTCTCTCCTTCTCCCATCTAATCTCCCTTCCTCTCTGCACATCAACCACAATCCCCATCGCCCACCCCTCATCCGTCCCCCAATCTACCAACTGCTCAACCATAACCCCATACGCTAACTCCGAGACGTCAAATCCATTCCAATAAACCCTCTCCAACACCTTCTGATCAAACTCGGGTATCTCGTGTACGTTGAACCAGGTGCTGAGCCAGGTGCGGACTTCGCTGGATGGTGCTTGTGTGGGAGGAAGGGCGTACAGGTGGGTGTAGTGAGATGCTTGGTAGGAGGTTGCTGGGGAGGAATGGCGGTGGGTGGAGGAGGAGGGGGAGGAAGAGGATGATGGTTGTTGTTGTGACATTCTTGATGGGTGTGGTGTTTTCTTGAGGGATTTGGGGATGTATGTTTGCATGTTTGTTGGTGGTGGTTGAGATTTTGGGAAGTTGGGAGAGAAGGGGAATTTTATAGTTCGAGATTGTGGTGTGGTTATTCAGGCAAGTGTTGAGGGCTGTGAGATTCAGGGACTATTGAAGAGGTGGATATCATCTCGAGGAGAGTCTTATCTTTGAATGGTTGTGTTTAGGAAGACATCCGGGCCTGGGAATAATGAAATAGCAAGGTCACTGGGCTTTTGCTTGTCCGAGTGTTGAATAGATTAGGAAGGCTAACATGAAATCGACGGATTAGCAAGACTACAAAATATTTCCTTATCCGTCTTATTCAAGGCGTCTGGCAGACATGGGTCACGTACAGAAGAGCTTTACAGCACTATGCTATAGTTATGGAAACAAGAAATGAACCATTTCCATATTGAGGAATATTTGATTTGATTTAGTCATTTGGTAAGGTATCTCAATCATCACTGTCAATGAGTCTTGGGTTGCAATATACTTGTCATGTTCTCGAAATCTTATATGTCTTGATTCTATTCCATGCCACCAAAAGCCTATAGCTCAGAATAACACTTTCCAACCAAAACCCCTTTGTCCACCACAACACACCAACCACACACCCAATAACAAAATGTCCTCCCACTAAACCCTCGGCATTACTAATAATAAAATGTGTTTTGCTTTTCTAATTCCTCCCTTTTCGTTTTGATCTTCTCATACTCCTTGGTCCTCTCCTTATGAATTCTGATTTCTATGGCTCTGAAAATATCAGTCACAATGCCATAAGCATGAGCTTCTCCAAACCCCCAGGACACTAGATGCTTTCTCATTAGTTCCTTTTGAACATCTCGATCTATTTCAACCTTCCGTTCCATTTGATCCCTTCGTTCGTCTGCTCTCTTCCATTCCTCTGCTTCCTTTTGTTTCTTTGCTTCCTTTAGTTTATCTGCCTCCTTTGATTGAACCACCCCTTTTTGTTCATCGACGGTGGGCGCAACCCTGCGTTTGCCATAAATACTCTCATAGAATTTCTTGGTGTTTTCGTGTTCGTAGAGGTCGAAGCCTGTCCAATATACCTTGTTTAAGGCATCAGTTATGGCATCGGTTTTTAGGTCGTGGACGGTGAACCATTTTTTGGTCCATGCCCGGACACCTTCAACTTTATCTTGGGTATCGGGGAGAGAGAGTAGGTGTTCGTATTGGTCCTTGTGATAAAATTCTTTGTAGTAAGAGTAGGACATATTGGATGTAGTGATAGGTCTTATAAGGGAGAGGTGTAACAAGGAGGTTTGTATTTGAGATTCTACTATCAGGAAGATTAGATGTCAAATAGTGAAGTGAAGTTCGAGTTGTAGTCTGGAAGTATGTTAGGGGGTTGGTTGGGGAGGTCCCGTGGTTTTTATACCAACCTCCACACATATGTTGGAGGGTTGTGAGTGTGATACATGTGATGAATGTACCAACATATTCAACCCGTTCCTAATCTAGACCAAGTGACAAAGAATAGATGTCTATTCATAGATTAAAGTTGTTGGGAAAGTGAGGAATTGCTCAAGGAGATATATGACTGAAGCGATCAAGATGAGCGTTTAATCTCAATTGTAAGAGACTGGTTTTTAGATAAACTTTTATGAACGATGCGTCAAGGATCAAGATAATAGGTAAGATAGGTTATTATCGAGGCTCTGAATATAATGTGTAAACAAATATTTGCATCCATCAAGCATGCTATTATGATCGTCTCTGAGTCTGAGACTCTGAAAGGATTTTGGAATGATGTTCACCCGATTAACTTATGGATACGAAATGATCATATTTCATTCACTAATAAAGCTCTTATATTATAACATCGCTTACCAAACCCACAAAATAAGTAAGTTCCAAAATCCATTTTCAGGACCATCACCTCCAACTCAATCAACAACCTCAATATCTTCCCAAAAACAATCAAACCTAAAGACACAACCCTGAGACAAAATGTCCACCGCCGACACTCCTCCAACATACGCGCCCAAACCCCAAGACCCCAAACTCTACGAGCCGAAATACTACGAACCGAAACACTACTCGCACCTAATCTCCTTCCCCCCAATCCAAGGATCCACCGACCTCGTACGCACCTGGCTCAAGAAGTGGTTCGAGGTACACGAACTACGATCTGATGAGGTGGGCAAGTGTGTTGGCAAAGTATATTGGAACGGCCATGATTTGAATGATGTTGATGGATTGGGGAGACATGAGGTGGTTTCGCAGTTGGTGGCGTGGGGTTTTGAGAGGGGGTATGCATTTGGTATTGCGGTTGATATTGAGAGGGCTAGAGGGGTTAGGAGGATTAGAGGGGGTGGTGGGTGGTGAGAGGATGGGTTTGGGAAATTGGGAGTGGTGTTGCTTAGTTTGTATGTTGCTTGAGCTAGACTGGCTTCAAGTGTGAGCGAATGAAGACGCTCTGGAGTAATTTTGGTTCTCTTCGAACTGTTTTTAGGCTTTTCAGATATCAGACTATCTCAATGAACAGCGCCATACACCATCGCTAACATGTATCCAGATGCAAACCCAATTTACTCTTTATTTCCCCCTCTTTTGTACGCCGTGACCTCTACCACGCATTCAAGCCTTCTCTTCTCTATTGCCCTCCCTCGTCCTCTGCGCTTCAAGCGCTCTCTCATCATCAACCTTCTTCTCTTTCAAATACCTACAGAAGCGACTCCTCTCCCTCAACTTATCCCCCTTCCACAAAAATCCAAACGGCACAATGCACATTCCCAGACTCAAAAACGCCAGCAAGCTACTAGCCCACGGCACGCCTAGATTGCGATACATCGGATCGGCGCTAAACGGTAGCACTGCGCCTGCGATGCTCCTCGCGCAAGACGCAGCACCCATTGCTGAAGCGGCGAAGATCTCATATGCGTCGGTGAGGTAGTTGAGTAGTGCCATGAATATTAGGACGAAACCCATGCCAAACGGAAGACCAGCGAGCATGGGTACGTAGAATGGAATTTCGGGTTTACTTGTCCAGCCGAGCCAGAACAAAGCGACAACGTAGAGGGGACCACCAATACATGCTAACGGTAAGCGTCGCGATTCTTCTTTCTGCGTCCAGGGCGCATTTCTCCCTTGTTCTTTTCGTAAAAAGGAGTCGTACAATAAGAATATCACGATAGCTCCAACTGTGCCACCACCAATTGGCAGGAACATGAGACCCGAAATGCCTGGCGATTGACCATATATTTCTTTGAATACGATCGGGTAGGCCTCGAAATACATGTAAAATATCCCGTAAGCTAAAGAAAGGTAGAGACAAGTCGCTAGAACGATGAGTTCGAAGAAGAACATTCGTATTGGTCGGGTCAAGGTGACGGTTGCCATTTGTTTCCATCCTTTCTTCTCTAATTCTATAGGTGCGTGGATGTTTGGATTGCTCGTTTCCGCACGGATCTTGCGAGCTCGACGAGCAAGTAGAATAGGGCCGTAGGTTTCTGGAAGCGTGAAGAGAATTGGAAGCGTCACTCCTGCAACCATGAGGCCAATCCAAAAAGCCCATTGCCATCCTTTGACGGGAGATATGAAACCAGAAATCGCTGGAGAAACGAGTGGACCGACACAAGTTCCCTGAACTATCAGCTAGATTCTGATTGAAAAGGGAAATACTTACCCCTATGAATACCGCCATGGCACGTCCTCGTGTAACTGGATCTCCATAGATATCCGCGTATATTCCACCGACAATGGTATTCGGACTGCTTGCACTTATACCACAAATGAGTCTGAAGATAAGTAAGGAAGACCAATTCGGAGCTAGTGCGGATGCCATTGTGAACAACGTAAAGATGACGAATGTGCCTGTCATGATCCATCTCCGACCATATGTTTCTGACAGAGGTCCAAAAAATATCGGTCCAACAACATAACCAATGAGATACATTGATATAGGTAAGATTTGGGAGTATGATGACGTTACATTGAAGTCCTCACTAATAAAAGGTATAGCATTCGAAGGTAAGGAGGAGCCCATGGTACTGTTTATCACCACCAGCATGCCAATGAACACGATCCATGCTTTTCGTCGCTAATAAGAATCATTAGCAAAGCAACGAAGAAGTATTGTTTTAACACACGGTTGACCAATTATACGGGTTCTCTGGATCTCCATCTTTCCACGATACAAGTTTCCTCGCTGGTGGCTCCACGCTTGATGAACTTGATTCGAGTGGCGCAGGAATATTGTTGTCTTCTGCTTCTACCCGATATCTATCATTTGCGTCCTTTTTGTCTGTTTGTGAAATTGCCCGTGCTAAACGGTTGTTGCCTTTTTCAGCTCATGAGTGACTGATTACCGAGACCTCGGATACCACTCACTAATTGTCTTGTCCGTTTCCAAAGGCCCGATCTGGAATAAATCATCGCCACTTTGCTGGTTCCGCGAGACTGACATTTTTTGAGCGAATTAAAGATGCTCAGCGTCGAACCCAGAACCTCAAGGTCAATTATATGTAAAATGTGAAAGACCAGAAATTAACGATGTTAGCTGGTTTGTGTTAGTGATCGTCGCTAATATGCCCAATTCGTACTTCAAGGCTGTTAATTCCCTGGTAGTTTAATTCTTATCCCCGCACCCGACGGACCTCCATCTGGAGCATCTCGCGACGAGCAGCATGTAAGATCTTTAGTCGGCATCTTTATTGGATAAATCGCATATGCAGTTGTTGCACAGGTGCCGACTACCGCTCTCAATATGTCCTCTGCAACTCCACAGAAGATACTTCGCTTCTCCAACAACTTCGATGTTGGTTGTGACATAGTTTCCACCCCCATTTTCGAGCTCCGCCTTTCACATTGGACCGCGAGATCCACTGAAGGGCGTTGAAATAGACAAGGCAGTGGAGGAATATCGATCAGAATGAGGTATGACAAAGCGCTGACGGCGACATCGGCACAAGTCGAATCTCAACTTGATTCTCGTGGACGAAAAATATCACGGCCTTGCGAACATTGTAAGAAAGTCATGAGTCAAGGTGCAAGATTTGTGTCTCGGATAAATACAATGATGTGGGAATGGTATATCGGAATAACCTCCAATCCAATTAATTTAGCCACCTGATAGAATGATCTGTTGAGTTACCATCATGTTCGAGGATGGTTTTATTTGCAGGCAGTGGTTGGCACAGCGATATTCGAGAAAGGCGCATGATACTTTCGCACTGCGCTTCTGGCAAAGGGAGCAATCTAGAACCAGCTACCCAATTTGTCGTCCGAATTTTTGTACGAGGGTTGGCAATTACTCTCTTCTCGCGGTACATCAGCCAACAGTGACAGACCTGGAAACTTCGTCGTGGCCGAGCAATTTGGGAAAATGGTTCTGTGAGAGTTACCAATCTGTCCGTGTAATCCAATTTTCAATTCGGCCAGTGTCCTAGAACCTGAGACGATGATAAAGACCGACCATCTTCGGGGCTGTCAAATATTCAGCGGTTCGAGGACGATCCAGTCGACGGTACGGTCTATGACAGAGTACTCTTCCAGCAATTCCTGGAATCGTCCTAACAGAACTAGGAAATCTCCTGCCCTCACTTCGATATTGCCGGAAAAGGCAATATCGAGGCCTAGCGAGAAAAGATGCAGCCATTGAGAACTCCGTTTGGCAGAGCACCAGGTATCGCAAAGTTCTTGAAAGGACCATTTGCGGAGATTTGTTATGGGTATCATTGAACTGTCGAATGCTACGTTTCCAGATTGATGCTTTTGCCAAACCGCGCGTATAAATCAACCTTCAACGCTGTCTGTTCTTCTCTGATCTCTTCCAACTTTTCCTCCAAAGCAGCTACTTCCTCTTCGATTTTTGACGTCGATGTCGATAGCATCTCCTGGATTTCTTCGAGTGGTAGAGAAACGAACCCATCGCCAATTTTGTATCTGTGAGTAGTCAGTATGAGACAGATAGATCCCGATATAGGCATGGTCATGTCGTACGGAATAGTTTCGTCCTCGTCCGCAAGCTCCAACTCATTTGATACGTCGTCCAGGTCTTCCTTCTCTTTCTAGGGCGATTGTCAGATCCAAATATGAACTTGGAAAGAGGGCATTTGCTCATACGTGTTTTAGCTTTAATTCGTCCTCAATGGCAATCTCGCGCTGATGTAGTCGACTGAATTTATTGATTTTATCTTGGTCCTCTCTTCTAACCTCGACCTCATCACCCGTAGTTGTCGCCTCGTCCTCCTTGGACAGCTTTCCGGCTTAGTTAGCATATGGCAGCATCTTGGGGAAGGCAGCATACCATTCGTCTTTGTAGTGTGTCTGCCATCTGGAAGGTTTCGTCGTATGATCGAATATTTTTACCCCTCCAAGCATCAAGTGCCTGAAGTTCACAGCTCAAAGCTCAACCACAGCCGCGATTTCCACATGGACCGTGCCTCTATCGCCGAGAGGAGAGGTCGCACGTGCTCCCGTAATATATATTTTTCCGGATCGCCGAGATTTCCCAACACCCTGCATCTTCATCTCCACCTCCGTCCCTCCCTCGTCCGTATTTCATCACAATCTTGGAAGTCAATTCCCTCCCTTTCCAACGAATAATATTTGCCTCGGCTGCATCACATTTGTCAACATGCATTCACTGGTTGATATATTCGCGGAAGGCATGGCCAGCTGGACCCATTCACAGCCTTTTTAACTCCAACAATCACCTGGCCGTATATCCAGTCATCTGCTAACCAACACCCCCCACTTGGAACTTTCCTGGTTAGATCATTCTCCGTTGACAGTTGCATTGCAGCTTTTTGACAGCAAGAATCTGCAAGAAACCGCCACTACCTTGAGACCATCCACTATCCACGGGTACTCCCATAGGTCTTTCTTACCCCAATCGAATTATTCGCTTGGGTACTTGCCAATGAGTGCAATTTCTGCAGTTAGCGCTGTATCGACCAAATGTATCTTGTTCCATTCAACCATACGTCTTAATCTCCAACAGCCAGATTCACCTATCTAGAGACATTCTGCAAGCCGCTGTTGTCCGAGGCCAAGGACGGCCTAGTCGGTCGTTACGGATCCGTACAATCTCCTACCACCCTGTCCATCTCACTTCATTCTCATCTTCTTCCTCTCCTCTTCCCCAGAGATATTTACCGGCTTTTCTCAAGAACACTAAACATGTCTGCCATTCATTTGCTACTTTTTGGTGGCATTTTGATTCTAGCACTGGTAAGATTTTCAAGCAAACGAAAGAACAAGGAGCTCCCTCTGCCACCTGGACCGAAACCGCTTCCACTGATTGGAAATCTTCACCAAGCACCAGCTCTATATCCATGGAGGGTGTTTCAGCAATGGGGAAAGCAATACGGGCCAATCATTAAACTTCAGTTCGGCCCTACCACCATCATCCTGTTGAACAATCATGAGACAGCTCACGATCTACTAAACAAACGAAGTGGTATCTATAGTTCACGTCCCAGAGTTGTTATGGCAGCAGAGTGTCTGGGCCATGGAATGCTCACTCTATTGATGCCTTATGCTGCTCAATGGAAGGCACACCAGCGTCTTCAGATGTCTGTTTTGAATGCGAGGGTCTCTCAAACTTACTGCGCTCTTCAAGAATTGGAGAGTACACAGCTCGTCTTTGACATGTTATCGACCAACAACTTTACCGATGGATTTCGACGGTACTCAGCCGGACTGATATTTGCCCTAGCATATGGAAAACGAATCGACAATTTCGCGTCCCAAGATTTGAAGGATTTGGATCAAGTTATCGACAACACGTTAAGCACATTACAGCCTGGATGGATTGTGGACCTATTTCCTATTCTCAACCATCTTCCCCGATGGCTTGCCCCTTGGAAGAGGCTTGGTGATAAACTCTACAAAATCGAGTCCGAAATATGGAACAAAAACTACAATAGTGCAACCTCAGCACCATCCTGGAATTGGTCAAAGCAAATCAAGTCGCTTGTCGAGAAAGATGTCAACAATCACATGTCACCTATGGAATTAGCTTATGATGTTGGCATCATATGGGAAGTATCAACTGATACGACGACAATTGCGTTGGAGGTATTTATCCTTGCTGCGGTGCTACATCCACATGCGGTGAAAAAAGCGCGAGAAGAGCTCATTCGAGTCGTCGGGAATGATCGTCTACCCAGTTTTACCGACAAAGAGAATCTTCCATACATACATGCGTTCCTGCAGGAGGTTCTACGATGGCGACCTGTGGCTGCCGGTGGTGTGCCACATGCTCTCCTTGAAGACGACGTTTACAAGGGTTACCGTATTCCCAAAGGCGCGACCATAATTGCCAACCAGTGGGCTATTTGTCACGATGAGGGGACTTTTCCATATCCCGAAAATTTCGACCCCGAGCGCTGGTTAAAGAATCCGGACCTTCCAGTCGCTGCATTTGGCCACGGACGACGGACTTGTTTTGGCCAACACATTGCGAGAAACTCGCTATTTATTATTATTTCGCGTTTTCTCTGGGCTTTTGACATTGAGTGTGCATCAGAGCAGAGATATGGTCATAAAATCTGGATGCTTCCTGATCCTCTGGCTATGACACAAGGGTTCAATTCAAAGCCAGAACCATTTCAAGCTGTCTTCAAGCCACGAAGTCCACACGTCGAAGAGGTAGTTAGGAGAGAGTGGAAGAATGAGGGTAAAGATATTAACGATATTATGGAGAATATTCAGAGAGCGCAAACAGCTCAGACAAGCAAAGCATAGATTTATTAATGGGGCATGTTCTTTGCATGTTCAGTTAACTCTGGACGATATGGCGTAGTAGGTCAAATACCCTGCAATTTAATAAAAATTGGTGTTTATCAATGATCCTGTTTTTGGTTTTCTATCTGTCCGAAAAGTTCATCGCGCAGCTATCCCTTTAGGAAATTCGGATTGGCTGGCTACAGGGTGCTTCACGAAACATCCTCTTCAACCTTTGTAATCACTAAAGAGGCTCTTCAGGACGCCGTCATCGTTTCCAATATTTTCGTCTGGTAACCAGTTAGCCATTGACTGAAATTGTTCCAATACGGTGTGCTTACCAAGATTGCTCTCCAGAGTAACACTTGGACTTCCACAACGACAGTTCATCCAGGTGACGGGACCGCCGTAAATTGGATGAGGCTTCTTTGTCAACACACATCCGGAACAGAACGGAGTAAAGCCAGGTCTATGATATGTTAAATTCATTTCACTCCAAATCGGCAACGGATGACTTACTTTGGTCCGTTGTATGGATTTGTGAAAATAAGCGAAAGGGGGTCGGTCTGAACTCCAATGATTTTGTTCAGATCGAGAGCTGCGGCTTTTGGCTTTTGCTGTTTATCATTGCAAGTCGCTGTTAGGATTCCGGTGGAGGCCCCGAGGAGTACGTCCTTGCAGGTTTCGGAAAAATATTCCTGCGCCGCTGAAGTCAGGGTGAGGAGAGATGCGAGGACGAGAAGAGAATGCATGGTTGTGTATTGTCTTGAGTCTGTGGCTTCAAAGAAACAGAGGCAGAGTTCCTGTTTTTAAGTATTCTGAGTTATAGAGCACACATCGGACTATATGCTCAAAAGGCATACCGTCGGTGAAATGTACGTGAGGATTTCCCTGGTTCTGTTCGTGGGTTGGATTTAGCCTGTGGCGTAGCTGCAAACGCCAATGCCATTATTGCGGTCATTTCCTAAACTTGATTCCAAATCCACTGAGGGGAATCTATACAAGAGTTTTATTTGTCGGCTCGTACATGTCTATGGGGTTGGAACTAGGAGTTTCTCTGGGGGAGGATACTGCGAATCGAATTAGGAATGTATGAAGATAAGTTTCTTCTATGAGTTGCGCAAAAGGGACTTATTGGAGGATTATTTCTCGAAATTGAAGATCGTATGTTAATGCGTTTATACCTAGGTACCTAGGTATGCAACGTTCGATCGGTCAAGTCCGTGGCTTGGGATTTGTTTAGTAATGAAGGAGGATACTCACGTGATGTCATCGATGTTTCGAAACCAAACTTTCATAAGCAAGGCTTGAACCGAGAAGAAAATGTTTCGACGTCCTCTTCAATCATTCCTGTGTACCGCGTTGGTTCTATAGAGTCATCAGAATGGTAGCACGTCATGTGATCTACCCCGTATCTTGCCGAGAGTCACCCAGAGCTTATCACAACGTCGTTCATGTCAATCATCCCCATCAATATACCAAGTCAGCCCGTCTCAACTCGTCAAGATAGATTCAACGGATGAAGCTTTTACTACACTCCAGTCCAAACTGTTACAAACAAATACAACAACAGTAACTCAGAACATCATTGGAGCACATTACCCCTCATCAACCTCGCTCCAATCCAAACTCCACCTCCCCAGGATACAACTTCCAAATGCATCATTAGCTCACGTCAGACAAACCCAATGGTCTATCTAATAGACCAAATAAGCTTTAGTCGTAATCTGTACCTTGCCCGGCAGGGGTGGGCTATCGCGATGCAGCTCTGTTATCTGAGCCAATGGTGACACGAGATGGAGAGATGGGAAGATAGCTATGAGAGGAGCATATGAAGCTCTTGTGCTGCTCCTTGAATTGTTTTGGAGGTTTGGACTTTTGAAAGGTCACTGAATATTTGGATATTGCAAGATGGCAAACTCCACGGTTATTGCGCATACAGGAGCGAATCCCCATCCAGACATGGAGAAAGTCGCCAGTCGACATTCCGCTATCAATGGATCCCCCGAAATCCTCGCTGGAGAAGCAGATGCTGAATTACTCGGTATGATAGATTCCTTTTCCCTCTGGCCAATGCTGATTTCGGGACAGCCAAGCTTGGATACAAACAAGAGCTGAGGAGGAATTTCACAATGATTGAGGTCTTCGGAATCGCTTTCTCGATTATGGGACTCCTACCTTCGATTGCATCCACTCTTGCGTTTTCGATTCCTGCAGGGCCGGTAGGCATGGTTTGGGGTTGGTTCCTGGCGTCTGGGTGTATCTTCGTTGTTGGCGTTGCGATGGCGGATCTTGGAAGTGCTATGCCTACGAGTGGTGGACTGTATTGGTGGACTCATTACTTTGCGTCTCCAAAAACACGAAATGCGCTCAGTTTTCTGGTTGGGTATTCGAATACGCTTGGCCTTGTTGGTGGATTGTGTAGTATTGATTATGGATTTGCTCTCATGTTTTGTTCTGTGTAAGTATCCCGAATTTAATGGAATTACTGATCTAACATGAAATAGAATTGTCATCGCCCGAGACGGCGAGTGGACGCCCTCGAACGGTGTGGTTTATGCGGTCTTCCTCGCTTGTGTCCTATGCCATGGAGTATTGGCATCAACACTTTCCAAAATCATGGGCAAGCTTCAAACCGTCTTCGTTGCTATGAATCTCATCCTCATTGCGGCAACAATCATCGCGCTCCCGGTCGGAAAGAGGTTATCTAGCGAGAGGAACGATGCACAGTATATTTTCACCAAAACCGAGAATTTGACAACATGGCCAACAGGCTGGGCCTTCATGCTGAGTTGGTTGAGTCCTATTTGGACGATAGGAGCCTTCGATAGTTGTGTCCACATGAGTGAGGAGGCAGCTAACGCCGCAAAAGCTGTTCCGTATGGAATCATGATGTCAATTGGCTCATGTTGGATTCTTGGATTCATCATCATGATTGTCATCGCATCATGCATCAATCCAGATCTTGAAGCAGTACTGGGTTCCTCGTACGGTCAACCAATGGCTCAAATCTACTATGATGCTGTTGGGAAGCAAGGAACACTTGGTCTCATGTCTCTTCTTTTCATAGTCCAATTTCTCATGGGCCTTTCCATCACGGTCGCAGCGTCGCGACAAACCTGGGCCTTTTCACGTGACGGCGCCCTTCCGTTCTCTGGATTCTTCAGACCAATTTCCAAGAGATTCGGCTACATTCCTCTTCGCTGTGTATGGGGCTGCGTCTTTCTGGCCGCGGTTCTAGGTCTACTTTGCTTAATTGCTCCTGCCGCCGCCTCAGCGCTCTTCTCTCTCGCAGTCGCCGGTAACAACGTCGCTTGGCTAACGCCGATTCTTTGCCGCGTAGTTTGGGGGCAAAAGAAATTTGTCCCCGGGCCATTCTACACCGGTGATCGATTTTCAGTTCCTCTTGCATGGTTTGCGGTCGTCTTCCTTGTCTTTGGAATTTTCCTCGCCATGTTCCCAGTGGGTGGACCCAATCCGACGGCTGAGAGTATGAATTATACTGTAGTCATCAACATGTTTGTGTGGGGTGGCGCGCTTGCCTATTACTTTATTGATGCTAGGAAGTGGTTCACGGGTCCAAAGATTACGGTTGAGGATGTTCCTGCTGGTATGCTTGCGGATGGGAGTATCGAAGGGGTAGAGACGGGTCATGGAGATAAAGTGCTGGTGGATGAGAAGGGAAAGGAATCTGTCTGAATGCTGCGGCTATCTAAGACCTCGTCCAGTATCATGTAGCTTGGCCATATGCTCCTCCTACTATTGAACGCAGGTATCTTTTCGATTCAATTTGTACAACCCTCAAGACGTGATGAAGCGCTAGGTCTTGAACGCCACTGTGAAAGAGGATAACAAAAGCTCTCGTGAGTCGTGACTTTGATTTCCTCTCTTGTACTGGTAATCTTGTGGTTGGCCTATCCTTTCAAATGTAATCAGTCGATGAATGAAAGACTCGAAGTCTTAGTGTTGGAGTGCTATTGACCAACGCTTCTTTCCTGAGAAGGAATCTTACCTTTATAGACAACTGATAATCCCTTCCTTGTTGTATACCATGAACATTACATAAAACTGCCTAAGGGATCCTTAGCCGACCTAACATGTTATTGTCAATGTCAACCAATTATCATCCCATCTCCTATATCATGTCTGATGAGAGACTTTAAGAACTAAAGCTTATTCACTTGTTTGCAACTAAAATGATCCCAACAACATTTACCGTGTGTATTGTAAGCACACTTCTCAGCCAACCGTCAACCCCAGCCGTCTAGAGTCACTACGGATAAGTCATGTATGTTTCAATTTCTACTCAACGGAGTTATCAATGGATATCTTCATGCATACAAGATATAGAAACAAGAAATTGAAGGACCACAATCCTAAAAGTTCTTCCCTGTATAAGGACTCTGCACACTCGCAAAACCCTGCGGACACTGCTTTCCCAAAGCCGCACTTCCACTCCTCATATAACAAACCTTCGCCTGCGCACACGCATCACTCGTGCAATTCGGACTCTTCACACTCATCTTCCCCTGAAACGTATTAAACACCTCTACCAGAGTCCTGTTCTTTTCCATCGCTTCCGTGACCTTATGCCAAAACGTGGCATTCAATGGTGCAGTCCCTGGCCATGAGATGGCAGGTCCGTAGGTATCACGCGTTGAGTATTCGAAGTTGAATGTTGGGCCGGTGGTATTCAGGTATGGTGTTTGAGATATGTCGGAGTAGAATGTATATGCGTCGTAGATCTCGAAAGTTGAGGTGTCTACTTCGTACATTCTGTATCCGGAGTTGAGGTTTGTGAGTGGAGTGATGCTAGGGCCGATCCAGCCTGTGGTGAGAGCTGTTTCTGGGGTTTGGATTGTGCCGTTGTTGGAGTAATAGATCATAATTTGATCTTCATGGGTGTGGCCCCAGAAAGTATTGGCTATTACGTGGGGTGAGTAACGGTCGATTATTTGGTAGAAAAAATCGGTTGGACCGAGGAGAGGATTGGAACCGTCCCATCCGCTGAGAACATGGCCAATGATCCAAACGCGTTCATGTGCGTCCTCGGCTTTTTGGAGCTCGCTGATCAGGAAAGCGAGGGAACCCGAGACGTCTGGATTGCTACTGTTTATGAAATTCAGATAATTCGTACGATACCAGAAATCAGTATTCAATGTGATAATTCGAAGGCCGTAGTGATTCTTGACCGAATACGCAGCATAGTGCGTGGCTGCTTGCGCGGCATCCGAAGAGCTCATCCATCCGTTATGCTTCCAAAGTCCAGCAACATGGTTGTAATTCCAGCTGAATTGTTGACCAAGTGGGCCTGGTAGCTTGTGAGGAGCATCAATATTTTCCGGACTAGAATCGTGGTTACCAAGAACGGCAAAAACAGGGCCATTTAAATATGATTTGAGCATGCTGTAGATGCTTGTTTCAGTGTATTCGACATAAGCCTGTGACATTTCATTTTCCGGATCGTGTGACACAAGATCTCCTGTGTAAATTGACCAAGCGGCATCTGACTTTCTTTTGCCAGTCCCTGTCAGAGATGCAATTGATTGCAGAGCCGCTAACCCAAGGTAGTAAGGAGTATCACATCTTCTCCGTCAGTAACAATCTTCACTTCAATATTCGGAAGTCATGACTCACTTGTATGTTCCATATAATGGCGCTGGTAACACTGCCTGAGAAATTGGTGCAGAAGCTGAGTATCTACAGCAGAGCCCAGATGAGCAATTCGCTTCAGAAGCCACTTCATACCTAGGATCTAGATGAAAATCAGATAAATGAAGAACTTTAATTCGCGTCCCGCTTGGCTTTCGCATTGTATAATTCGTAGGCTTTGGCTTTGGAAACAACCCTGTCGTGTTCAAGGGTGTCAACACTGGCGACGCACAGAAAGTACTGCTAATCGTATTGCAAATGTATTGTCCATCTTTCCCAGTCACGTCTGCGAGTGCCAGAACTTGAGTCCAAATCGCACCAAAGTTCGCTGCAGCGTAGGTCGTCACACAAGACGAGTTTGAAGCCCATTTTGTTGACTGACAAAGTGAAATCATTGCTTCTGGAAGGTATGATGGGGCTAATTGTGCAACAAGCTTTCCGACACTTAGCGCCGCGATACATTTTGAGCAGTTGCCAGATAATCCTCCATTATCACTTATAATGCTCTTGATTTCTGTCAAAGCACCTTGAATAACTGCTTCCGATGTGGCATTTGTAAGATTGGCGATCGACTGTGGGTAATAGACAGGATCAGAGCTAGCCGATGGGATGGTCCTTGGGCTGGTCAAGTTTAACGGATATGTGATGTTGAGAACTGGGTCGAAAAGAGCAGGTTGAGGTTCTGCTGTTGGTGCTGGCTTGACATAGTAACTGGAGAAAATTGATGTCGGGAAAGCAGACGGAACCACGTATGAAGGCACTCCTGGTAGATGAGCTTGTACTGGAAGAGTGAAAATAGATTGAATAATAAATACGACTGCCACGATCAGCGTCATTTTTGTCGCGTTGAAAGTGTTTCCGTTGTGGGTTTTTAAATATCGATTTCTCTTTGCACCCAGATTGAGCGCAAACTTACGCTCATCTCAAAGCTTCCGGGTGTAGTCCACAATATATACAATTTGCTGAACTTCAATATGAAAATAAAGTCACGGAAGGAGAAGGTGATACAGGTTCCTGGAATAGCGTACCTTAGCCCCGCACGATGCAAGAAAACTAGATGACGGCTTCCTTTCACAAGATTCCCAATGGCCAACGTGACGAATTGATTGGTGTCGCGACATTTTCTTGCAGTGGACCCGAAAAGCTTACAAAAACAAGCATTTCCACCACCATAGCTCTCGAATGCTTGTCAAAGTCTCCTTGAGTGGGATGTGAGAGGCAGATCGTCAGAAAGACATCGTGAACCTGGGAAAATGGGGGAGGACACATGGTAGTGAGGTCGCATAACCGGACAGGGGGGGTTAGGACTAGCACGGGATTAGGAACAAGGTATTACTGGATCAAGTCAACGTTACGATTAATACATTTAATACAACTCGCAGAGTATTTTCCGTCGAGTACCAGGCAAGCGCAAATCATCTAGGGCATGAAGAAACAGGCGGAGAATGGTCAAAGTCAACCAAACGACGATTTCTCGTCGCTCCCCTAGCCTCCATCTGGAATAGGCTGCCAATCATCTGAAGAGAGATAGGACGAATTCCAATTTCCTCAAAGTTCATTCTTTCTGGAGAGCTGAGTGCACTGACTGGATATGACAGACACCGCGTGCTCGCTTTCGAAAGTTTTTTACAACAGAATTCCCGTGAGAAAATTGCCTGCCAAAAATGGAATAAACTTAAAGAAGCTAAAGCAACCGAACTCCCATTTGTCTATCCCAGGGTATCATAAACGTCCATAGTCAGATTGAAGCACCTCAACTATTATCGCAATTCTGGCTCGCCCATCCAATCAGGCTCCACAAGCCATGGAATCCGTATTGATGGGTTCGATGATGGTATTCCATCTCCTCCCTGGTCCTCGAGCACGCGCATCACTGATTTCCTCTTTTCGGAAATCAAATCCGTTCCATCAGAGAGAGTGTCTCCGACAACGACTTTCTCGTCGCGAGCATATACTTTCAGACCTCTTACATGGGTGTCTTTTCCATTCTGATGGTTCTCCATAATCCTGACCTGAACCAAGAATGCACGTAACGTCCTTCCGTCCCGGCCTCCTCCCACATGTTCTAATGGAACATCGACCCAACCCGAAGGACGTTCAAATTTGAGTTCGGAAAATTGTATCAAGTCGTGGTATCCAGTCCCAGCAAGTAGGACTATTCGCGTGGGAGTGTAGGATTCGTCTGCGGCGAAGTCGAGGAAGATTCGAATTGATAATATTGAAACAAGTCGGGAGAAATGTATATTTAGGTGGTGTGGTTGGGGGCCGTCAGATCTAGGGGGCGCTTAGCAAAAACTCACAATGCTGGTTATGATATCTTACTGCCAGAAGAGACTCGTGTCATCGTCTCGTAGAGCTTCGACACCACAGCCAGGTTTACTACTACTGACGGTCCAGCTAGCAAGATTCCCAATTTCTTTTAATCCTAATGCTGCAGGATCGAATGGTGGCTTTGATTCGGTATGAACTGCAGAAGGAGTTACGGAGTCAGCATCTGAGCCCAGAATTGCTCGGCGAAACCATGCTGGAGCTAAAGAAGACATAAAGTAACTGAGGTAGTGTTTAGGCGACAGAAGATAGTGTTGGGAGATTCATTCAATTGAACCAATCTCTCAATGCTGACCCGGAGAAAATAGAAGTTCGAGCATCTAGGTCTTCCTTTTCGAGATACAGAATGATCGCAGGTGTTAGGTATAGAACAGAACACAACGAACCTACGGACCTTCCTCGATACCTCCTTCCTCGTCGTCCTCCTCATCCCCGTCTCCACTAACGTGCTCGCCAAACTCTTCATCTCCATCATCTACTTCCTCGTCCTCGTCCAGGTCCCCATCTTGATCAATTTCGAGGTCTTCATCCTCGGTATCTGAATGCTCGTTTGGATCATCCGCACCTTCGTCTACGAGAGGTGTGATAGCGACGCGTGTGCTTGCAGAGCGCGACTGTGGAGGGGACTCGTACGGGTTCGCATTTCGAGGTCGCCGAAGTCGAGATATTCGGAGATGCGGATGCGATTGACCTGAGGAGTATGTGGGAGTCGGAGTCATTTTCGTTGCAACCATAAAACAAACAAACGCGTCGTGCCGAATCCGAATATTGAGCTTCAATCGCGGGGTTACGGGATCACGTGCAAGGCTGCATGCCGCTCGACCCCTTTTCGAAGCCGAGCTTCCCCCATATTCTCGGTTTGTCTCTCGGCTAGTCTGTCTCGAGTCTGTTTACAGTACACAAGCACCATGACGTCCTTGATGCTGACAACTGCTGTATACCAGAGAAATTCCGGAAATAAAAAAAATACCGCGGATGGATCCATTCGAAAGCTAACTCATTTCGATGGCTTCCAAAGGCCAGTCACTGCAAAAGCAAAAGTCTGCGTCATGAGACTTCGAGAATCGCCTCAATATCTCACCACAGTTGTCCGTAAACATTGAGATCATAATCATTGAATTCTGTACAGCTCATCAATTTCATATCAAAAGATAAGTATGCGACCAGGAGCTCAAGATACACGAATTAGACTGCACAAACCGCCTCCCTCTACAATCTGCTTATCCTTTTCATCAAAGGCCGAAATCAGGAGCGGCCCTGCCAATGAAATGAAGAGCTTCATAGTCTTTTCGTAACATCACTGAGCTCCAAGAGGCCAGAGGCTAGGTATATCTCCTTCAACGGGTCTGCCCATAAAATTAGCTACACTAGCTCAAGATCACCACTATGGTTTGCATTTCTCGACGATCGATTGGTCTAGCTTTCTCCTGTTTGTCAAAAACAGAACACCCAACCAAAATCCATCCAATGAGCAAACCCGACTCAAGACCGAAACATGGGCCAAAAAAAGGTTATGACCCCTAGTCAACTACTGAGCCTCTGCCGGACCCTTCGGGAGTTGTAGTCTGAGCCTCCCGTGACGTGGAACACTCATCACCGATTTCCGGCACCATGGGCCGGCGCAGAAAGCTATCACATATAAGCTGGACTTCCTGTCCCTGGATGAGGTATCGAATCTATGCTGAATTCATTGCAATCCTGTAATAGATAATTCTCTTCCAAATCTACTATCACACCTGAGCACATCCCTTTTCAATTTACTCAGCAATACCAAAAAATCCACAATGGTTCTCCAAAAGTAAGATCACCTTCACTTGTATTTAGAATTTAAACTAACAAGAAACCCTAGATGGCGCAACCGAAGACAGACTGTCAAGGAGTTGAGATCTCAGGACATGGAATTGAGAGAGCAATATCTTCAGATGCGTGCGGCGGAACAGAAGGGATTGCCAACCTACGATTCATTACCACAATCAAACGCGATGTTGGAGAAGATGTCAGACCGTCAGCCGGCAACACAGCATGCTGAAGTTCGCTTAAGTCACACGAGCTCGAGTCGGTGAAGGATAAAGGAACGATGTGAGCGATAAGCTCTCGAAATACACAGTCAGCACCGCGATTCAGGGGCGACAGGGGTGTGGGGCCGAGCAGGAAGAGGAAGAGAGGGAAGAAGTGTTTCGTAATCATTCAGAAACGTCGGATCGCGAAACGAAGCAGCATCTCATAAGTCGGAGATTGGGTTGTTGTCAAAGAGACCAAACGCAACGTCGACGGAATGGATTATGGCAAAGCCAGGAATCTTGTTATTCGAGACCGTGACTGAATGGGAATTGAATGGGAATTGAATGGCTTCTTCGAGCAGAATTAGCAGCCGGATATCAAGTAGCGAGCAACTCTCCTCCTGTGTTTACACAGATTCTACTAGCAGTCAGAACACACTTCGGCTTTTGAGAAGAACTTGCCTCATCATGTAGAATTTGAAAATTCTAGAGCGAGAGAAAGCAATTCAGAAAATCACTCTCCAATTCATAGCCTGAAAGTTGAAAAGTGAAGACCGTGAACCCATCCCTGCGTCAACGGATTAAGCTTCTATTTATAGCACCTGGGCTAGCATCTCTATGAATCAACTCGAAGTTGATAAATATCAGATAAAGTGTATTTTTGCTTTCTAGGACCCTGCATAACACAACTAGCGTACTACCCAAAACACCAGTAAAACTAAATATACAATGATCATATCAAATAACCAAGTAGTAAATATATTACTCCGGGGTATATATGCCTAGGTGAGGCAAAAAGGAAGTTCAATACGTCCCGGTAGGACCATTTCTGTAGAGAATGATGCTCAGAAGACCTCGAGCGCACCAGACCGTCCTCTTAAGAGGTCAGTACAAAATGATAATTGAAAGAACCCACTTCCCTCCTCATCGAAGCTACCTGATACTCGGGTTTCTCCTTTCACCGGAATCGGAGCTAATTTGTACCAGCTACGGAAGAAGCCGTGGTATTTTAGTGTAGCTCTACTACTCCAAAGTAGCTCTTGGATATCTTAGACAAAACCTGGTCTCATCATCCATGGTCAAAATAGTGTCACTCTACTTCTAACGACTTTCCCTTCTCATTCGTTGGGCCAAATATGTCTTCAAGTTCATCTAAATGTTAGCGTAACCACAAACCATCGATAGGGATCCATAAAAATTAGAAAAAGTGAAGTCCCTGGCAGATTTAGGCTATGTTACTCTCGTCTGGCCATGCCATCACAGCAAGTCTTTATATTGTATTCTTTCTCTTCCAGAAGTTCTTCACTCCACCAAACAAGCGAAGGTTCCAATATATGATTAGTGTACCATACTTTTGAAGTCAACATGTTAAAGGCAATCGTCATCGTGAGAATTTCAATCTTCCAAAAATATTTTCTTTCCCGAATACGGGTCCTAATGAATCACATCCAGCTCCTTCGCGATGACATACCACGTATTATGGTTATGATGATCATGAGACAAACTCAAGGTATCCAAATCAAATGACACCTTCATCTCACTATCCCTCATCATCTTGCCCCCGAAAGTCTTGCGGATCATCCGGATCCTGCTCGTCTTCTGGAATTGGTTCACCCCACAGACTATAAACGAGTGTAAAATACGGATGTCTTCTCTTCCCTTCCTTGACCTCGCTGACCATGTTCTTTGATGTATTTTCATCCATATAAACACAGAAAATGTATCGTGCACCGTAATTATTGTCTTTCAACCTTTGGGACTTTGAGGCGTATGCGGAAGCCATTTTTTGAATTCTTGACGCACTTGATCTGTACTAGTACCATCCAGAAGAGGTTTGTTTTCATGATATCTCATGTCTAGACTAGCCAAAAGATCCTCATGGTCACTAATTTGAAGATTCTTTTGATTATTGACTCTCCGTATTTTCTGCACGCGGGTCCATTGTTCCTTGTATTTATAGGTGCAACGACAGATATGAAGGCCCCAGAACCGACTCCATTCAATTTTATGAGCAGATTGAATATCCCCTAGTGAGCTGAAGTTCGCGTAAGCGGCGTTTTACATGATTGATGTTGGTTTGGGAATTTGAATAGCATGATGGTGCTGGTGGTAGAGGTCACAGGTTGTCGAAAGTGGGAACCCGACTCTGCATAAATTTGGAAAATAAAATCTGCCTTGTTGAGTGTGAAGAGTGAATGTGAAGGGGGGTTGCTGGTAAGAGTTCATGGTCTTAGGCTAGAATGTTTCTGGGCCCAGTCAAAGGAATAACTTTTGATTCTGTAACCGATCTAAGCCTACTAGCGGTGCTTTTACATGCCTCTTACGGAAAAATTTAAATATATTAAGCGAGGAAGCATTTGAAAATGATTCTGCACTGCATTACATTGAGTAGAGAGATCAGAATAACGATCAGGAAAGCTGTATATCAGACAAATTCAATACTTATTAGTCTAATATTCAAAGGCCTCCTGAGAACATATAATAAAGTTCCTGACTCTATCTAAAAATCTACAATTTGCTATAGTTTGCATCGACACAACGCCATATCGTCTTTCTATAGTGAAATGAGATCTTTGTGTAGAGTTATTATACTCTAGTTTCCTGAAAGAAAAGAATAAAGTCTTATTTGATGTACTGAAGGAGGTATTTACCAAGATATTAGAGACATTCTGCTGGTGTGAATAGACGTCTATAATGAAGAATGTTAGAACAAAATATGTGAAAACTCGCTTAACACAAGGTCATACACTAAGTCACGAAAGCTCGAACGGCGAATAATGAAAGAAAGAGGTATGTTTACCCTGGCAAGACTTTTTATCAATTCACTACGGAGTAAGTGTCAATGAAACTTCGCTATTATAGGATTCGCACCTAGGCAACCAGGTGGTTTCTCTCCTCACACGCAACACGCCACCGATACAATGGGCTTCCGACCACGCTTCTGCATATTGTGAAACGTTTTAACTGTATCTACAAAGATTATCTAATAATTGAGAAGCTAGTGTTCGCTATTGCGTCGCTCTGGGTAGCCATCGACCCCGTGAGTTACCTTGCTAAGCGAGCCAGGCTTTTTGACGCTGCGCTTGACAATACCTAAAGGAGCTCTGGTTGCAAATTCGTGACATTGTTACGTCGGCTCTCGATGATAGAAGTGCTATCCAATTACGATAATGAGAACTTGTTTTTTCCGGCTAATTCCAACCCTCCTATGGATACCAATTCTAGTCATCTAGCTCTTGTGTTAATACTATGTCTCAAATAGGCTAATCATTTTGGTTTGAATCAATTATGATGATGTACCCGCCTTCTTGAATCGATGTTTTATATGTAATAAGCTCTTATCTCACTCCATCATTCCACTTAGCACTCCCCACGACACCACTCACGCAAGATGCCTACCCTAGTCTTTCTAGTATCCGCTTGGCTCGCTTTTATATTAGGAGGTAATTCCGCATACATAACCACGATCGAAACGAGGCAGGATCCAGGATTCCGGCTATTCATGGATGGTTACACGTCTATTTATATTGATCCTGAATGCAATGACGTCCAGGAAGGAGTATTCCACGACGCCTGGGAGGACGCAAAGTTACTCTCAAAGGCACAATTTGGCAATGTAGACGGTCACGGTGACGATAAACCGCACAAGATGTGGTTAGGTGATAGCTGGAACAAACGTGGTTCTAGATATAATGCAGTCACCAACGAGCGAACTGGGGATATTTACAAAAACATTTGGAGTATGAAGTCTCTGTTCGACAACCAAGGGACGGAGGAAAATGAGCGCATCTACTGGTGGTGCCAGGATATACGCAATGAATGTAATGAAGCTAATATATACGGCGGCTACTTTAAGACGACAGAGAACATCCCCCAGCCAGACGGTCCCGGTAATTTATAACACGACTTTTTGTCCACTCTTCTTTTCAGAGCAGACGCTTGGGACGCAAATGTCGAGACACGAACATGACAGCCGCCAGCTGTTAAACATAGAGAACTTTCAATACAATACCGCTATGACTGTGTTACACGAGGCCTACCACTACCAAAACCTGGTGTGTGATCCGCCAATTGACGATCATGCTTGGGGAGCCATAGACTGCTACAATCTTGCACATACGTATGGCACCAAAAAGGCTTATCTCAACGCAGATTCATATGCTCTCGATGCATTAGCTGTCTATCTCCAGCAGACGTTTAATACAGAAGTACCACCTGCTCCAGAACAATGGCTAGATCATTTCATGCCAGTCACCAACTAAGATATTGCCCAACGATGATCGCTAGCAATCACCTTCCGGTCAGCTCTATGGCAGCAAGAATACGTATACGCTGGAGGATATGATCTGGTTTGATTCCTTGGGATCTGATGAGATAAAGCCTCCAATCAGGCCGTTAATTAAGGAAAAGGAGGAAATGAGGAGAAGTTTTACGAAAAAGCTAGAAAAGAAATGCAGGATATGGATTATGGAGGTCTCATCTTCTATCAAACTAAGAATTTGTAGAAAAACCACCATTGCAGAAATATCTCCCTAGGTTGCTCTGCAGAAGGGGTTGGATATGACTGACAGCGAATGGACAGTAAATTGAGAATTCAAGAACTCTTCCTTACCTGTCAGTTTGAGCAGTTTCAGTTAGCTTAGCATCAAATTAAACATAGCAACGAAACTCATTAAAATCGTTGACGAACACTTGATTACTAGATTTGTGAAAATGGTAATATTGGTAATTTTGCCAGTTTAACACCTAGATTCGCGGTAAGCTGATTTCAGTATCTCGGAAAATACCTAATCTCCTACTATAAAACCTGGGATGTCTCTCACGTCTACACCTGTATCTCTGCCTTTGCGTTTCGTATCCACATACTTGTGCATCTCAAGCTCTTCATCTTCGGTTGCTTCAGGTGTAGGTTCTTTTGGAAATTCCTCAATCTGCTGCTATTAACCAACTTCGACTTCTCCCAATTTTCTCTCGCACCGGGCTCATCTCTTTCTACAGCTCTCACAAGCCTTGCTCTTTCAATGTCATCAGCAAACGCACTGATTATTGCACTATCATAGAATTGAGAGTTCTGCTTTCTGTCAAAAGCTCAGTCGGTTTCCTCTAAATGGAAGTTTGTTATATCGTTCCACCTTCAAACTCCTTGACTTACAGATTCATATCACCCAAAAAGTATCTCAAAAACTTCCCCTCCCTCACATCTTGCCCATTCAACACCAATCTCCCAACATACTCATCAACCCCGACATCATTCTCAAAGGCACCCTGCGCATCAAACCAACTACTCAGCCACTGCCGGACCTGACCTACATCCGCAGCCCTGGATGGGAAAGACGCGTAGAATTTGCGAAAAAACGGCGGGAAATCTGGTTGGTTGAGGTTGAGTTTCACACGTCGCTTTTTTGGTTTCTCGACTTTATGTTTCTTGAATTCAGGCTTTAGGGGTAAATCGTCGTCGGCTTTGGAAGCTGGGTCAGGGTTTGGGTCAGAGTTTGGGTTTTCGATTTCGTATGGGTCCAATCCAGATTGACCGCGTGTTATGAGAGGTCCGTTGCGTGTTAATTGAATGCCAGGTCGCGGCACCATACTGCCGTTGATGATACAGCATGAGCTACGATGCTGAGAAGGGCAGGATTGAGCACACAGCCGTTAGAACTGTGAAGCGCGCAAAGTAAAAGGAAGGCTTGTAGATGGGGGTGAATACTCAATCTCATGGGGTGAATTTGAATAGTCACCCCGACCCATTTGCTCCAATATACTAACCATATTCTCAAAGTATGAAGTCGTATTCTACTATAATTAAATAGTTTGGCAGCTCCCATAAAATCTTTTACTTTTTGTCCTTAGCGTGACGTTCGGTTATCGAACCGTGAAAAATAAAAAAATGTTATGAATTAAATGTGTGAATTATTAAAAGACTGTCATGCACTAATATCATATGCTTGAGACTGATGAGCAGCATTTGATTGACTTCATCATCAATTGCTAAGCTATGAAGCTTATACTTCGTGGTATGCAGTGATATTACCCTGCTTCTGTTGTTGGTGGACTTCGATATTGCTTGCCGGACTCCTGCATATCGAAGCAAACAGACGAGCTCAAGGTAATCAAAGGTGAGATCTTGGAGAGTCCGAAATCTACATTCACTATCTGAGAAGATATTCCGCCAACTTCGACCCATTTGCAAATTTCACACCATGTTGCACTAACCGTTAGAAAATATTTCAAACGATCAAAACCCAAAGTTCGAAGACGCGATTCCATACATTCGAGACAATAATCTCAACCTCAAACCTGAAGATCGACAATGGACAGAGCCGTAGCATTCAACAAGAAACGCGATGAACTCGTCAAACCTGATCGCACAACATCCCCAGACAAGGCGGACGAGCTTGAGATATTAGTTGCAGCGTATGAGGAGAAGGATATGCAAGGCAGACCATCGAAACTCAAGCGGGGCTTCTCAGCCAGTATGAAGTCTTAAATTCTCTCCGCCTCAGCATCTCCGATCTAACAGTTGAATAGTCAGGAAAACCTTTCGCAAGATTAGAAAATCTAACAGTCTCGGTTATACCGAGATTCTGTCTCGGCACGAAAATGATTCCAAGGCTGAGCAAGATAGAAAGGCAGAAGAGAGACGGATCACGATGTTGAACGTAGAGAAATTTCTAGTGTACGGTTGAACCTAGAGAGGGTTGTGCGGCGAAATAGACTGGAAGTAATGTTTGTCAAATTTGTGCGCAAGGGAAGGAATCCGAAAGGAACATGGGCAGGCAAAGATCCAAAAGATTGCTAGTCAAAACTTCTCCTTGATAAATTGTTTACAGCAAAACATATTATATCGTGACAAGAGAAAGGACCAAATGATAAACATTGAGCTTTGAGGGTAGTTGCAAGATCTTTCTTTGTTAGACGGAATTCTACATTGCACCTTTGCATGGCCACAAAGATAGTGGGCATGTAGCTTAATGTACTTCAGCAATCAAAACACAAAACACAAAGCAAAAGGTGGGGTGCTTGTGTTTTATTATCAGTCTTTGGAAGTGTGTTTCTTTTTCGATTATTTTATGTTTGCCATATTGCACTCTTCAACGATGACTTCCAAGTATTTATACCCTCTCCGTGTACAGATAATATTTAATCAACAACATCACACACAAGGATCTACAATTATCAAAAACTGTCTACTGACACTTGCCACTTTCTTCGTTCAACAACAATATTTCTCAAACACAAAAATGTCTACGCTCAGGACAAAGTTTGAGAAAACGAAGAATAAGCTCTTAGGAAGGCCACCTCCCCCACCACCTCCCCCACCGCGTTCACGTCCCCCACCACGTAGCCCGCCACGCGCACCACCAATTGGGCCTTCTCCTTCAAACGAAACCTCCCGTCCAGACGAAATCGCTTCTCTGACTCCTATCTCCCGATCTATACCTGCAAACGAGCAATCCTCTCGAAGCCCACCATCCAATTCGAGCTTAAATTCCCAGAGAAACGAGACTAAACCTCCGGAAGTCCCCCCTAAGACCACTTCTGCATCTCCTTGGGGGATAACAGAGGCAAGCTTCCCACCATGAAGGCCCGTTAAGTCCGGGCTAACCTGTCAATTTAGGCATATTACCACGTATTGGGAGCGCAAGAAGTTCTTATCAACGGCGAAGAGCAGGGAATACGTAACGTCATAGAAACCCTTGGAAACTGTAGGTTTTTCTCGTCATCTACATCAGGCGCTTTGTATCGCTTTTTACTGATTGTTCTAGTAATCAGCAGCAAACCCGAAAACAGACCTCTGAACGAACAGATTCAAGACTGGTCTGCTGAGTTGGAACATATTATCGGATCGATCGAGGCGGTCGACAAAAAAGCGCAGATTGTCGAATTGATTAGAAAGATGAGTGCAGAGCTCTGTGAGATGATTTGAATTAAGTATCAGGAGAAGGAACCGGATGTTTCACACTTAGGTACGGCACTGTGAACCTAAGTCCAAGTGAAAGGTTCAACCAATTTGCGAATGTGCTTCAGAGGAGTAGCGAAACAGCGTAAATTGTCTTGTAGAGTAGATGGAAAGATAGAAGAATTTGGTGATGATTTTCTACCCAATGAAATAACAATAACCCTGGAACATGCATATCCTACATAAAACGTCTTGCTATGTGAAGTTCGAAAGATGTAGCTATGTAGATGTTTTTTACTTTTTAGCGCAATACAAGCCACTTGTGCCAAATTTCAAACTCGATGAGTGTTGATTTATGCTTAGTTGTTCTCATGTCGGATGCTACATTACGTGACTAAATGAGCGGTGTTAAGGGACCAGAAAAAAATTAAAATAATTGATGAGAAGAGATCTTTTGTCCAAGTTGTTTGAGAAATTCGTACCTGATGAAAGGGAGATGTTTGCGAGAAAAGAGCGTGTAAGAATTTTGAAAGAACTCAGACACATAGTCCAGATCTTATGTCAAACATTGCTGTTTCTGTTAAGTTACACGAGGCTCAGTGTGATGTGAATGAGGCAAAAGAGAGAGTGTAATGAGACAAGAAGTCGTTTGAAAGAACGAGATGACAAGATGAAAGGCTTTGTGTAGGTTATCTTAATAGGTGAAAGACCTGATGGATAATTGCATGTTTGCAAAAGCCACAAAAGGCACTTCAACTATGAACTCCTTTCTCAACTTTATCGATGACTTTCAATCCTCTCTATGCTAATTCTGCATTGCAAATGTATTCATTACAAAAACAGTGAAAAGCAAGTTCACCCAACTCCGACAATGTAGCCACAAAAGCAAAATGATGGCTACTTGTAATTCGTCTACATTCTTTCAGTGTACGTTGTCATTCGGCTTCCTTTCAGTTTTGAAGAGCTCAGATACGTCTCGCAAATACTTAGACACCACGATCATGAAGAGAACGCCTCATCATCAACAATACGGAGCATCCTCTACAAGAACCAGCTGCTACTACTGTACAAACCCCATACATCAACCAAAAATATGTCGTCTGATCGACAGCCGCCCACTGCAAAATCAACACAGGTAAAAGATGTGCCGGGCAAGGAGATCATTCCAACTCATCTCCATTTGTCGAATGTAAGTCTACTACTCACGCCAAAGTTACGTGAGGTCGACATTGACGTTCATGTAGGCATGGCATTCTAATGAGAGGCGCAGAGATAATTGTTGAGAAAGGGCAATTCGTCGGAACGCGCTTTGCACTAACATGCATATTGGAACGTATGTATCCAATCTCATCTACCGTAAGAGCGAATTTGGCTAATAGCTGGTTCAGTACTTAGCAAAGATCAGTGGAACTCAGGCTTAAAGACCTCGACTGTTCGGTGGATTGAGAAATTCGATGAGATGGAAACGCAGAGGGAGAATGGAGGCGGTGGCAGTGCAGATGAGCAAATGGAGAAGCTGAAGATTTTCCTGAACGACGTGACCGAGACACTTGCAGTGAAACTGAAACCCTATGATGATGAGGTGGCTGGAGAAGTCACTCAATAGGAGGGACCAGCGAAGTCAGAATGAGCTATCGTGAGCTGGACGGTATGGCTATGGAATGAATGAGTTTTTCGATGAGCAATTGGGTTTCTGTCCATAAAATGCGACGTACCTCCCAGCGTCTCACACTATCAAACTTATTTCAGCAAACCCATTTTCAAATATCGCGAGTAATTTTCTAGAGTAATTACCCTCATTAACTACAGATATAGAAAGTCGCAGCTCACTGATCACTGTTCGCCTCTCTGATCTTTCATTGCAGACTCAAATCTTGCACCTTTGTAACAGCGCTGTGCAATAGCCCACGTATCAAAGAAGCAGAAAATGGCATCAAACGGAATCTTCCATGCTCATCGCAGCGCATCAGAGGTAAGTTATTCAAGCCGAGCGAACAAGACATCTGAAACAAACATTCCCCATCTCAATTCAGGGATGCTATCAAATGAAGCGAGTGAGTGAAGTGATGATTTCTGGTCATGTAGAGGGAATACGAAAGAAAGGTATTTCAGCTTATATATATCCGTTTCATGAACCCGGGAGTGTTTCCTCAATAAAATTTTCAGTACTTGGACGAGAGAAGGAGAACGAACGCACACTACAGAAATGCATGCAATGGAGGTCTCGGTTCGAGCAAATCGCCGGGACGAAATCTTCTGGTGCAGGGCAAGATGTAGATGATCAGCTCGCGAGGCTGGCGAAGGAAATATATGAAGAACTTCGTGGCTTTCTTAGGGATTGGGAGATTGGAATCTCGGGGAAAGGGTCCTGGATTTTCTTTTGGTCTTGAAGTGAGGATAAGAAAACGAGGAACTGTGCTTCTGAGTTCAAGACTTGTAGCTAGTCCCAAGAAGGAGAATGTTTGCTTTGTATAGGATGTGGTGATGTTTTGTATAGTCATTGCGAGGTTTTTTGTAGCGTTCAGTTAAATCCAAATTATAAAGCTCTCAGCTGTAGACACCGAAGGTAATCAAGTTAATTCTACCATACAATATGAGAAATTGAAGCACACGTGAAAGATGCGAGGGGATATGCCATGCGTCAACTTGCCTAACAAAGTGAAGAGAATGACAGATCGATATAAACTAATATTGCAGTGAGCAATGATGGCCATCAGTTGAAGGCTTTAACTGGTTCATTAACGCAAGAAAAGTTAAACGACAAACGCTCGATATTCAGCCAAAAGACCCAACAGGATTGGAGATCCAGATATTGGCAGCTAAGTGGACCAAGAAATGTGGCACCTGGTCTGAATGGAGACAAGCAATTGACAAGTCCAAGAAACCACTAGTAAAAGTGAGAAGACCTCGGGGATCTCTCCACGTCCTTGAATAAACCGTAGGAATGGAAGACTTTCGGCGATTTAAATCATGGTCGAGGAGAGCGAGGTAAGAAACTTTGCCTACAATATAGAAAATCTGTCAAATTATGGCTTAATTAGCGACTTTCAAGAGAGGCAAATGTTGGCATGATCGTTCATTGGAAGTTCTTCCCGGCATAGTTCTTATATCTCGTAAGATGTAAGTCGTACTCGGTAGCAAATATGGTAATTGGCTGAGATTAGTGAGCAACAATCAACTCATGACTCCAGAAATCCAAGCAGCCAATGTGCTCGGCAGTTGCATCGGCCTACTGACCCGATTTCGCGACTCCAGAGCCTAAAGCGGTCGGGGCTTAACGGATATGCAAGCTTAATGCTGACCGGATGCAGGTGCAACATAAAACCAATATTAAAATCTTGGCATGATAGCTGATTTGTGTAGCAGAACCAACGCTGTGGGATTGCACCCAAGTTTTATAGCCTCGCTTAACAACTGCATACAGTATGGACAGGCGGCTGCAATATGGATTGGTGGAGCCAATCAATAACCAACATATGCAACGGAATGATTGCTCAGGGCAGTCTGCGCTGCATATACCCCCTCCAAAAACCTCGCAAGAAAGGGTTTTCTGGGTCTGACAGCAGGTATAAAAGAGAAGATTACCCTCACTAGATTTTGAGAACATCCTTCCTTCTTTAGACGAGCATTATGGCTTGGTCTTGGCTTTGCGCACTCTTAGTGCTTTCGCAAGTCAGCGCGATTTCACTTCCAATCCAGAATCGACAAGATGCAGATGCTCGCAACGGCTTGAAATGCAAATGCTATGAAGGCGAACGTTGTTGGCCGTCGGTCGGGGAGTGGAAGGCGCTCAACGCCTCTGTTGATGGACAGCTTCAGAGAGTTCTGCCACTCGCGGTCTCATGTTACAATACCTTTGAGGGTGTTGCTACTTATAATGCAGACAAATGCGCCGCCGCGACAGCGGGGTTCTCAAGTCAAGCTTATGTGTAGGTCTGAAACTTTATCTCTCTACCACTCACTGACTGAAATGAAAGGGGCAATGATCCTGTGTATGCAATGAATCCCCTGTATACGAACGATACTTGCTTGCCAACGACAAACCCCAGCGCAAGCTGCACACAAGGCTATTTATCAGATTATGCAATTGTGGCAACGAAAGAAAGGCACATTGCAGCAGGAGTAAAATTCGCTCGCAAAAACAATATCCGACTTACGATCCGCAACACAGGCCATGACTTCATGGGCCGTTCTTCCGCATACGGTGGTCTGACCATCAACACCCACCGCTTCAAAGATGTTGCATTTACCGCCAAATACAAAGGGCCAGGTGGGTATAAAGGAAGTGCAGTGACTGTCGGGGCCGGAATTCAAGTCGGTGAGCTGTACAAGCTAGCATTCGAGCAAAGTCCGAAAGTCACTGTCGTTGGGGGAGAGTGCGCGGTAAGTTTGCTATTTTCACCGCAAGCACACAGCTAATATGATATAGACAGTGGGATTTGCGGGTGGCTACATTCAAGGGGGAGGACACGGCCCGTTGGCTACCCTTCATGGAATGGCAGCTGATCAGGCTCTTTCCTTTAATGTCGTCACAGCAGAAGGAGATATCGTGAAAGCGAACGCGGATGAGAATAAAGACTTGTTTTGGGCGCTTCGAGGTGGCGGTCCAGCAACATTTGGTGTTGTAACATCCGTCACGGTAAAAACATTCCCAGAAGTGCCTTCTGCAGGAACGATACTCGACATCAATAGCACCCATACCACCGACCCGGCTGTTTTCTGGAAAGGAGTCGAAGCGTTCCATGCTCAAGCGAACCACTTCGTCGACAACGGAATGTTTGTATATTATGTCATTCTGTCAGGAAGCCTGCACGTCCAGCCACTCTACGGCCCAAATATGAATTCGGAGAAGCTGTTGAAGGTACTAAAACCACTCTTCGACGATCTGAAAGCCAAAGGAGTGCCATATAGTACTTCAACAAAAGAGTTCCCAACATTTTACGAGCTTTACATGGACATATTCGAGCCTGAAGGCGCTGGCTCAGACCAATTGACAGGTGGTCGGTTTATGCACCGTGACGATATAGCAGCAAATAACAGCGGAATTATGGAAGCGTACAAGACAGCGCTTTCTCCCTCTCCGGAATTTCCTTTCGGCATTGTCGTTGGCCATATCGTTGGCCCTGGCTATGGCGCGCCATCGGTTGACGATGCAGTTCATCCTCTCTGGAGAAAGGCAACAAGTTTCAGTATCACCAGCTTGTTTCCAACAGCAGCCAATTGGAAAGCAGCAAAGAAGGTTCAGACTGAAGTGGTAACCAAAGCGTTGGATGAAGCTGCACCCAAAGGAGGGGCGTATGTGAACGAGGTAATATCCTAATTCTTGCTCGGTTTCGAATTGGTAGACTGACCATCCCTTTTTCAGTGCGATCTTGGTCAGCCTGATTGGCAGAACCAGTTCTGGGGGAGTAATTATCCTCGATTGCTTAAGACCCGCCAGAAATGGGATCCAGAGGGGATATTCTATGCCGAAACCACCGTTGGAACAGAAAAATGGGCGGAATTTGGAGAACCACCGAGGCTTTGCAAGAAAAACTAAACTAAAATGCGAGTCGGAGCGGTGTAAGACTGGCTTTTAAGGAGTTTTGATGCCATGACGCACAAGGCGAAATGTGTACGCTCCCGTTTCGGGAAGCTCATGAGTGTAGTTGGCTGAAATGACCTGAGTGCAGATAGCTGAGTACCTAGGTACTCTGAACGTATAGAAACACAGGAATTACATCCCATTAGCTTCACCCATTAGCTTCCTTACAACAACCAATTATCACAGCAATGTTGCTTTCTCTGAGCGCCCAGCCATAGAACCAGCATTATGGTGACTGTGTGAATGAAGTCTTTTGGTATGAAAAAAAAAGTAATCATCCGCTCGACGCGCTGGCGTGTCTCAAGTCAACAAAGACATTTGGATGCGTGCAGGTTGCGAGAAATCGTGTCGTGCAATGTAAGCACTGTCCAGGAGATCCATGCGGTGTCAAAGATTTCACCACATCATGAAAGGCGCCTTTGACCACGTTAAAACCGAAGGAGCGAATTGGTGTTGCTAAGGTAATAGGCATCGAACGCGAAGAAAGGTCCTCAATGGATGTGGATGTGATGAAGATGGACGAAGTTTGTTGACGAGATATGCGCATGATTTAGATTCATCACGTGATCGGGTTTCTCCAGCAGGTTGCCGTACTACCTTAGTCTTATAGACAAACTTCTCTCAAATCTGCGCGTACCCCTTGTTTCTCGATTTTTCCTTTTGTTAATTTCATAACTCAAACTAATGCATTCACATATTCACAGCAATATGAGGTTCCATCATACTCTAGCAGAAGCCGGTGGTAGACAAATTTCTCAAGGTTGGAGCACGCGGGCTGCAAGCGCCAACCGAGACGTAGCTGAAAATAGCTGATCCAGAAGGAGAAAAAGAACTTCTAACGGAAAGCAGAAGAGCCAAACCTTTGTCTGAAATCGCTCCAATATGGTTAAAACCCAACCTTGTGTCTGGAAGAAAATGTAGTTTCAAACGCTTCGCAGTCATTCTCTTGCGTCAGTTTAACCGTACCGAGACCAACGTCGCGTCGCCCGCGGTAGTATCCACTGAAAAACACGCGACAACCTCAAAACTTTCGTTTGCCACATATTAATCCAGTCACACCGGGTAGATGGCTTCAAATATGCCTCATATACCAGCCGAGATGCCTCCAATGGAGTTTATGAGTTTTGTACATCGCTATCAAGCTTTGCAGATGCAGCGGGATAGCAGCGATCAATTGATTAAGGTAGGAAAGCGCTCCAGCGCTTGACGTTCAGACAGCCATAACTTTCCTAGGATTTACTATTATATTGTGAAAGTATCCATAGCAATCTTACACTAGAAAATGCTCGATTACGAAAGGATCTCGAGGATGCACAACTGGACCTGGTGGATGCTACAAAGTCGAGGAGAGATTTACAACAGCAGGTCAACATGGCCAATGTAATTGTTGGACAATCTAGCGCAGATGTTGAGTCGATGAAGGTAAGATAAGAAAAGCTCCAGCTAGACGGCCGTTAAATTTGCTAGAATCGAAATCCTTATATAATGGTATTGATTGACGGAGATGGCCTGCTTGTAAGTACTTGTCCTTCCAGTCACGAACAGAGCTAACCAGCTTGTAGTTTACCGACGATTTAATATCCCAAGGGATCGATGGCGGAAAACAAGCTGCCAATATTTTGAAAGATACTGTTTTACAAAACTGCAGCGGGCTCGCAGACGAAATCGAAGTTATAGCAAAAGTATGCGCAAATGTTGGAGGTTTGGCACAAGCTCTGAAGCGCGATGGTTCTTTGGACAGCCCGGAAGACTTGCGGCAATTTACATTAGGGTTTACACAAGGGAAGGCTTCATTCGATTTTATTGACGTCGGCCATGGGAAGGAAAGAGCCGATTCCAAGATTAAGGGTATGTTGAGGCCAAAATTGAAGGATGGAGCTGACGATATTAGAATGTATGCGATGGCACTTACGAAACCACAATTGCAAGCAAATACTACTCGGAGTATCCCACGATGCTGGGTATGCTCCGTTCATTGAGGACGTTGTAACCGCGGAAGATAAGGATCGTATTACTATCGTTGAGGGACCTCCAACTGTTCGCGAACTCAAAGCCACGGGCCTTCCAACGATAAATTTCAGCAACATATTCCGTAAAGAAAAACTTATCTCCAGGCCAGCTGCACCTCCAGCTTCGACCTCCTGGGCCGGCATCACCGTCGCTGCACCTCCGCCAAGTGTCTCTCCCGTAATGGCCATCAAAAGCGGCGGAGCCTTGACAGGAATAGCTAAGAAGCCAGCTTCAAAACCTGTTTGGGTACCAGGACCCCGTGGTCTTGATGCCCCGATTATCGTAAATGCCGCTGTCTTGGAAAGTGTTAAACGCCGAACAATAAACAATAAATTATGCAACAACCATTATCTCCGAGGACCTTGTGCTAAGGGCGACGATTGTGTCTTCGAACATAGGCACAAGCCTAGTGATGAGGAGCTGAAAGCGATAGCCCATCTGTCAAGATTGAATCCTTGTACGAATGGCCAAGACTGCGAGTCGGAATACTGTATTTATGGACATCACTGCCCGAGTGTTGTGATGGTGGTTAGTTCGAATGGCAAGGACCATGAGCCTGTTTGTCAAGCTTTTGGCTGTCGGTTTAGTAAAGACGATCATCCAGAAGGAACTGTCATCAAGCATCCCAGGAAAGAAAGGTGGGAGAAAGAATATGAAAGATATTAGCGTGGACAGATTTAAGGGTCCTCGGTCATGTATAATGTTTACAGATTGGCATGAAACAGTTTCCTCTCTTTGCCACACCTAACCTCGGCGTATGGAGGCCCCTGTATCATATACAACCTGCATTGCTCTGGGTCATAAACCGCGAGCGATGGTGGTCGAGTTTATTTATCAAAACACTTCTTAATTAAGCAGTTTTTTTATATTCCAGTATCAGTCTGTCTACCATTAACGTCACGAGACAAATAAACAAGGGCCGTTGTTCAGCTAGTCTGAAAGATTGCAGATGGCTGTAGAGGTGGCCTTCACCTTCACCCTCAGTTTTTAGCGCGTCTTTTGCAGCTGGTTTACCTTTATTCCCCACGGATGCTGATCTTGCCTTTACTTTTATCTAGCAACCCAACTTTCTTCGCCCTCTTAGGCAGGGCTCTTCAATTTTCAGCATCGTCTACTGTACGCGCTCAGGTCTCCTCGTCATCAAATTATTTCGCCTTTGTTTCGATCTGTTTATACTGCAAGGCATAATTTCAGGTTGCCTTGTTTACACCCGCGCCTTTCTCGAAGTTTACGAACACACGGGATTTATCCATTCAAAGTTAAATACGCAATATGCCTTTGAATTCCTTTCAAGAAGAGTTTCTCCACGCTCTCAGAGACGGTTATGAACAAGAAATGGCGGAAGCCAGCGACACCGCTCGATGTAAATTCTTGGTACACAATCTATTGAAGCCCCAGCATGTTCCTGCTCGTGTAGAAGCCAAAGTTCCTCTCCTGGTCAAGGCTTCTTCAGCCAAGCCCCACGGCTATGGAATCTTTATAAAAGAACCTGTTAAGGCGGGAGAGCTAGTTTTCAAGGTCAAGAAGCCAATGCTGAACATAGTGAGTTCAACCGTACAGCAGACTATTGAATCAAATTAATTATGATTTAGGTTGGAGACGGCGAATCAGATCTTTCAAATACTTGTGATTACTGCTTCACAGCCAAATTTCAAGACATTTCGTCAAAGCACTCACCTTCTTCGATTCATCAGGAGGACTTTATTGCAGATATGAGACCAAAGTTCATGCGATGCGGAGGATGTAAAGTATAAAGTTACTGCAGCAAAGTATGCTTTCCCCTCCTCTCACCCCTCGAATTGTGCACAAGCTAAGGGCTTCTCAGATCTGTCAAAAAGCAGCATGGAAAAGCCATCATAAGTTTGAGTGCACTCACCTTGCTCATATCTTAGGCCTCGCGGAAGGAGAGAAGACACTTTTGCACCAGCTGTGCATGCGACTTGTGATTCGTCTTCTGTTGTTACGTGAGAACAACATGATTTCTGATGAAGATTGGCAGGAAGTCAAGCGACTCCCGACTGAGAGGAAGGCTAAGCTGGCAGATCGTAATCTCTGTCAAATTTCGCAAGCCTGCGCCGTGTTATTGTGTAGTATGAAGATTTCGAAAATGGAATACGAAGAGGTTCGGGATATATTTTACATGGTAAGTCATGAATCTGGTCCTGAGTAACATCTTTCTAAATCGCCCTTCAGACGTTCCAAAACCAAAGAAATTTAACCGTGCCTTTGATTAAGGGACATTCGTACTTACCTCTGGGTGATGCCGTCCATATAGCTGGAGTCACGTTTGAGCCTTTCACGTCGACAATTGCTCATTCGTGCAACCCTAATTGTTGGATTATCTTTGAAGGGCATGAGTTGTGTCTGCGTGCTCTCAGAGATATCACAGCTTTTGAGGAGCTGACGGTGACTTATGTTCCGGAATTCTGGGATCAACTTGGGCAACAATCTATACTTCGAAACCGCTTCAACATTGAGTGCCAGTGTGAGCTTTGTGCTATGCCGTCTTTGAACGTATCGAATTCACTCAAGAACCGCATTCTTGAGATTCTAAATATGAACTCCTACTCAGCATCAAACCCTGGACTAAAGACACACTTCACGAAATTCATAAAAGATATGGAGTCGGAAGGCCTCGGGTGGGACGTTCCAGCGACACTTTTCCTCCATCAAAGCGCTACACTTCAATACCTTTTCTCCGGGAACACTTCAGAATGCCTCAAACGGTCGATGAAAGCTCGGGGTAAAATATCGCATAGAACTGGTTTGACGCGTCACTGAGCCAGCATTTCAGCGGTGGGTTTGCGGTTCGTTGCCCACAAAGATGTCTTTTAGCCAGAGATAAAGAGTGAAAAGCATTACAATCCTCGCATAGCGGATGCTCAGGGAGGTCTCGTTCTAAGAGGCGCAGGAACTTATATATTACTCGACTGTTAGCCCTTTTGAAAGGCTGCAGATGTTGCTTTTCAAGGCATGAGTGAAGTGTAAAACAGGAAAGTGTTAAACTCGCAGCCGACTCTGGTGGAAGGTGGCCTGTGATTTTGAATATGAGCTCTAGTGGAAGCTTTCCGAAAGGTGAGGACTTCAGCGCAATGGGTCTCGGCTTAGTCTTACACCATTTGAGCGACTGGAAAAGACGTATGATTATATCCATTAGGAGAAGGAACTGCTGTCAAAACATTAGACGTATGGTAGGTCAAGATCCGGGCAAAACTTACCTTGGGAAGATGCAAATGTTAACAATTCAGGGGTAGTGTAGCTTAGCGAGCCTCCTATGCAGGTACAAGGAAAGGGGGGTTTTTCGACGAAAAGAGTTGTTGGCTAGAAATTTATCATCCGTAATTGTGGAACGTAAGTCTTGAGTCCGAGTTGACCGAGATACTATGCCACTACGTCAATGACCTAAAAGGTGCCCGATCTCTACCTAGGTATGGTGCAGCACAACTAAATCCAGGTGGGTCACGTGATTCAGACCGATCAGAACGTCATGCCGACATTTAGTGGTTGACATACTGAAATTTTCAGTGTTAGGCCAGAAATGACGCGGATTGCTTAAGTCAGTGGAGTTTTACTCCACACAGTATAATTCGCTTTCAAAAGACGGCATTAGTAATTTACACGACTAATAAGACCGGATCTGACGGTGGAATGGCAAAATGATGCAGCCAGTAAGCTATATTTTCCTGAATTTGTTGAGACAATATACTGTAAATGTCTCTCTAGTTTTAGAAAAGTGGTCTATCAAGCTCTAGACTTACAACACACTAGTGGCAGAAAATGTCCCTCTGGCAAAAGTTGAAGTAGATTTTGTTGATGAGGTTATAAACACCGTTAGTCTGGCGTTTATGAGAATATTGGTAAGATTGTAAATAGTGCTCTACCATTGTGGGTTTCTAATTGCCTGTCATTAATAATATTACATGCGCAATGACAGTGGGTAGTACTTGGTTCGAATAAATACCTCCGATCGGTCGGGGTCCTCAAGAGGAATTGCACCGAGAGATTTCAGAAAACTTGGAGTCGACAGTGCTGTGGAAAGAGCTCGTAATTTAGACTAGACGTAAAGAAATTTAAAGCGCAAATAATTGTTGTACTTCATCCACATCGTCTACCTAGTTAATAGTCCTCATCATCATTTTTGGAAGTAGAAAGCTGATCACCATACTGTCTCCCCACATGAAAACAACTTGACAAGTTTAAGAATTTAACCTTAGTGACACAACGTTCTCCTTTTTCACGTGCGCTCCGGATTGCGTTCAGACCAGTTCCTTCTCAGTAAGCTCAGGTAGACCAGCCCATTTCAAAAGGTAGTTCATGTTCAAGACTAACTTGACTCTGCCGGCTTCACTTTCCACCAGAGGCGTATCAAGATAGTGTCGCCATTCAGTCTGCCCAATGTTAATGCCTTCGCTCGTTACTCGGCAATTACCACCTTGATCGGGTTGAAAGTACAGAAAAGCCATTCTGCCCAGTCTCTCTTTCTTTTTTTCAAATTCTGCGATTGCTGAATCTGCACCATAACATTGGATCGTATCTCTGACCAACATACGTCTCCGATGGAAATAAATGGCCTTGCACCGGAGTTTTATATCTGCGGGTAGTTTGTTCAAGTTCTGGTCGTCACCGATCCCAAGATTAGCATAGGAGATTAGACAGCACAGTGTTGTTATCTTTGCGCTCAGGTGCTCAGGTGGGATTTGTGCTGGCTCAATGGAATAGCGAATCTTGAGACACCATCTTCCGAATGGTGTTGAAAGCTCATAAACTGGAGCAAAGGATGTCTGAGTTGATCCAAAGGCTTTCGTGCGGTCCAGTCACTGTCGCCGGAGTTGGCTTTGTGAAACAAACGTCAGCTATAGCCAAAATAAAAGGTGACTCACTTCTTATTCGTGATCAACAGATCTTTGTGGTCCCATCAGCACAGCAATTTCCAGTGCCATGGTCCGAGGAACTCCGCATTTGCCAACACATCCACTTTTGGACGATGACTGGTCTGTATATGGACGGGATAAAGATTCCGCATAAAGCCGATATCGAGAGACACGAGAATGAGGAAGGAATTATCTATTGCGAGTATTGCTACACAGAGTTTCAAATTGATTTCAAAAGTTACGGTGAATTTGGTAACGCAATGTTTGTTACGCGGTGGATGGATCTTGGAGAAGGACATAATCCTAACGAATACAAATGGAGAAGTCGACTGACGGTCTTCATGCAAAGAATACAGAGAAAGGTCGCTTTCGAACGTGGCTTTATTTGCACCTCGTTTGAAGAGATTCCACACTCGGAGTTCAAATTCGATTCCCTCTTGACAACAAAGGCTGAGAAAGATTTGAAGACGATGAACTTACCTCCAGCACGGCCTTATCACCTTAATAAAACTTTCGATAAGACTAAGCAATACAACAAGGTCGAAGATGGGCGCTTTGTTAACGTCCGAATAAGGCCGGATACGACGATAGTCTGGCGAGTCTCCTGCCATATCGAGTATTAAATTACAACTTCCTGCCCGAAATTTCAACTTGCCGGCAGATGGGGTCTGGAACAGGGTTGGCTTCGCCAAATCACCACTCGCGCCAGAAAGCAGTATGCCAGATCTTCAACGCATGGAGCTACTTTGCACATGCCACACATCCATTGTCGCTTTATTCAATGCGTTCGTAACAGTACCGGAAGCAGATTTGTCATCGCCCTATGACAAAATTCATCTTTGTTCATTGAATATCTTTTACCAGCTGCTCTAAGAATTTTCTTGCTCGTCATATTATAACATTAAGTAAGCGCTCGAACAATTAGAGTTCTCTTCTGTCATAACTGCAGATTTTAACGTGGTCAGCATGTATAAATATGGGAAAAGCTCTTGGAGCCTGGGGCAGAGGATCCGGTTGAACCCCGAAATGTCATTCTCGCATTATGTAAGGTTATCATAAGAGCTATTTCGGGTGTAAATTAGCTAATAAGAAGTCTGTAGAGACTGAATAAACCGGGGTTGAATAACCTATAAGCTTAGAGGGGTGATAAGGATAGGATGTTTATATTGATCAAAATACCTCATTGAACAAAACATGGCTTTATGGTTATGCTACCTAGCTAGCGAGCCTTTTAGTGTGTGATACTGTTCATCTGAAAACGTGGAGAGAAGTATTGCGTGAGATTCTATAGTCTTGCTCACCAGAACCCTACAATTCTCTGGGCAATAAATGCATTAACAAAAGCAACCTCTCTCCCCTTAAGAGTTTCAACCAACACGCAAATTCACCTTGTGTATCCCTGTTGTACATATCTTGTTGAAACATGCTGAGAGTTAAACTAAATGTCCCACCAAGTCCTATTCCAGAATTTTGGTGAAAAGGCAATCGACCGACCCAATGATTTACTCGATATTCGTGGGAGGTAAATCTGTGTTATCGATTCCCTTCTCAGAAATGAGACCATTTTCCTTTGAGCTTGACCCTTGTTCTTTTTGGGCACGTTCATTAGACCTATCTTGAACGCTGAATCCAGGAATGGGCATGGTCCTGGGTTCTATATATTGGGAGATCTCAGGACTCTGCCCGGCTTGCATGATATATAGGGGCCCACCAGAGCTTGGTGTTGCTGTCAGGGAGTTTTCATCTATTGTATATGCACGACCAGTCGTATAAGAGCCGCTGAAACTGGCTTCTCGAAGCCTTTTTTGTTGCCTGACAATGAGTGCACGCTTTCTTCTTTCAACTTTCTCTTGCTTGAGCGCTTCATCAACTCGATTTTGATTGTCAAGTTGTATCTGTCTCAGTGTCTCCTGTTCTGTACACTGGGAATTAGTTGCGTTAACTCGAGGATCTCCCAATGCTTACCTCTGTTTAGTTTCATCTTTCCGGGTACGATAATAGCTACTGTATTTTTGTAAGATTCATCTGCTTCCACTACTGCCCTGAAGAATGTGTTTCCAATCAGGATATTATAAGGCAGAGGGGAATACAGGAAGAACTCTGCCGTATGAACCTTCGCTGCTCGCTTCATCGTAAAAGGCAGCTTTATTTTCCTGTCAAAAGTAAACTGCCCACCACCGAATCCACGATATGGTCTTTGGAATTCTTGGGGAATAACCTCAACAAGACTCTCAAGTTTGCGCTCTTCGATAAAACGGCGGTCTATAATGTTGACTTCAGACCCGGTATCCAATTTACACATGGCAGAAAATCTGGCTTCGATTCTGTTAAATATTGGCAGGAGCTTTATCAGAAACAAAGTCGAATCTACATCATCGAGCTTCTTCCGTTGCAGTTCTGCCTGCAGTTGTTGGTCTTCGATCTCTTCCTTGATATGTTCCTCCAGAAGTGTTGGACGAAGGTGATGAGCCACTGTCGTACTTGGGCCATCACTTCCTGGCGCATCATTGTAATCTCTAGACCGGGATCTATAATGAGAAAATCAAAATCCAGTAGATCATTTCATTATCGATGGACTTACTCTTCAGGTTGGAGCTTCTGCGTAGGCTTCGTCATGAACGCGATGCTGAATGGTGTCAGAAAACGGTGCGACCGTAGTCGTTGGTAATGGGATACATACATTTCTTGTCTTTGTTGGAATTGTTCGTGTTGAAGCTCCAAAGTCATCGATAACATACGGCTTTGCTGTTCTGCAACTACCGTTACTAGAAACCTTTGACGCGGTTAGCGTTTTTGCAGAAGGAATCAAGCCTCAATTTGCGAGCGTACATTGTCGCAATTTCTCTAATAAATACAACAGCTTCTTTGAACGCCAGGCAAGAATTATACATTTTGCCCCCGGAGAGCATAAATCTGACAGCTTTTGAGGGGTGCTGTTTTTGATCAGGAATAGCATGGTTTTTCTCTAAGACGGCTTGTAAGACTTTCATCCGGTTCATGCAAAGAGACAACGCAGAGACGGCCGATTCGGGTATTGGGTGCTGAGTGCTCAAAAAAATTGAATTCGTCTCTCTTAGCAGCTCTGAAAGGATTGGCAATTCTTCTGTAACAAATAACTTCACCTTGAAAGCATGATTGAGGCCCTGTGCGATAGTAGTGTACGAGGAAGCACCTGTTATGTTCACGGCAAGGCCGACGATGTCAATTATGACACTGGCGAAAGTCAAAGCCTCCATTGCGTAGGGCTGTTCAACCCCCCTCAAGATTATTTCCCAGAGTTAGTTACAAAACTATTCTTTGGGGACTTCCTAAAATTCCAGAATGTTGTTGTGTAGGCTATACTTCTAGCATGATGGACAGAAGGTGGAAGGAAAGGAATCATGAGCCCGGCGCTTCCCCTAGCGCCCAAGCATAATGAGACATCGAGACCACATGGAATGAAACCTCTAGCATATGGTCCTATCCCATAACCAGTGGCTTTTTGATTTGTTTTTGTAGTCGCCGACCGCGATTCGGTCGTAAATCTGGTGTACTGATAGGTTCGCTTAGATAGTAATTAACTTCTGGCCCAGGTGTCGCGCCTAAGCTGAATCAGTACACAGTATGAGAAAGCTGCGGGGTATACAAATACACACAGCCTCGTTGAAGTAAACACTTGCGAAGGATCTTTGCATCGTTTGATACCAAGTAGCTAACTTTTCGCGATAGTCCACAAGAATGTCATCACCGCAAGGATCGATGCCGGGAGCAGATTATCCACAACTTGCACATCTGATGTATAGAGTTCCGGAGCTTGCCATATTTCGCTCCTTTCGTGAGCTTACCTTGCTTCGCCTTTTAAGTCTCCAAGCGGAACTTTTAGAACTTGTCGAAGAGTATGAAGCATCGTACGAGGCAGACCTTAGGGGAGATTCTGAACAACCCACAACACACGAACGTCAAGAACTCAGTCGAAGTTTTCGAAAGCTTCGCGAAAGTGGCCCTATCGAAAGTCTGCAGTATGAAGCGCTAGATAGCATCTTTAAAAAAGTCGACGAGTTTTGTAAGTAAAGCACTCAAAGTTCATGTATTGCGACTGCTAATTGACAGATGCTGCTTTTATACAGGCCTCTGAAATGTCCAAAGCGTCCAAACCGGAGAAAGGCGATTTGGACCATCTTCGACAGTGGTTGTCTCATCCAACAGTTGGTGGGAACTTTCTTCCCAAGTCGGAAGATGCCTGGGTCAAAAAGTACGATGCCGACCAAATAACGCTGATAGCAAAAGAAGGTGGTTTAATGAGAAGGTCTTCGAGTTGGATTATCTTAATCTACGACTGGGTTTTGGGTCGGCACTTTGTAGTATGTATTCATATGATAAGAGCTTCAAGTGTTGAGCTGATCTAGAAGAAGCCTGATGTTATTGATTCTGAAACAGGGTCACGATATTATCCCACCACGTTAGAAAAGAGGATTGCAAAAGTTACAACTTCAGTCATTGCTTCACTGATACCTGGTCTCGTCATACTCGGATTATACTTTATTGACACTACAATAAAGCGGATTGGTACTATGCTTGCCTGCACCGCAGTATTTGCTTTTGTTTTGTCATTCTGGACTCAGGCAAATGTGATTGATGTGTTTGCCGCCACCGCTGCGTAAGTGAGATAGCATTCTTTTGATTGAATTATGCTAATTAAACAGGTTTGCTGCAGTTGAAGTCGTATTTATTGGTAGTGCTATCACAAATAGTACTGGTGTATGATAGTTTGGTTGGATAGAGTTGGCAAAATTCGAGATTTGAAGGAAGTATTAGCTGTTCAAAGCTTCGATCATACCCGAGTATCTGCTCCACCTTATTTCACGTGCAATTAGTCGCAGTGAATTAGGATATCCTTCTTATCCTATGAAATATTCACAATGAAATATTAACTGCTTCTGCTAGTCGTGTTACCGTAGTTCGGATTCGAGTTTGATTTCGATTTTGGACGGGCTTCCGAATAAGAAGTTGATTAAGCGAAACGGCGCGAGCTTTCGTGGATACCGTGATGACGTTACTTGAGCTTTCTATTTTCGTCTGGCAATCTATTTGAAGTTCATTCACTTGTATTGAGAGATCATAACCGATGGTTTCAGGGGTTGTGATCTATTATTCAACTTGATCACGCCATTACACCCCTGTCGGGATACCAAAAATGACTTCTTCGAATTCAAACACAGCAAAAATTCTGTGGTTTCAAGACTATAGATTACAGTGCATCTTTAATGCACTTCATAGTAACTATCACTTGCTACTACTCAAACTTATATCATCAAATGTATATACGGTATTTTAAGAAATAAGTGCTTGATCACTTCTTCGTCTGTGACTGTGCAGGCATAGCCCGAACAGCGGAAATTTCAAATTTTAACGTCTTAATTACCTGCCATTGTAATAGAATTAGTCACATAAAGCCTTATTTATTGGAACCTGCTCAGGTCAATAATAGTCTCGAATATATTCACTGTTGTCTTCTACTAATTGCCACCCAGGCGCAATAGGTAGATCGATGAGGCTCTTGCAAATATCTCGCATTCACTTTGTTCCAACTAAATAAAACTGTAAATATCTTTTTCTTTTCAATAGATCCAAAGTTCCATTGAAAGCACCCATCCCTCAGTCAGACACAAGTTCCAAACAGCAAAAACTCCAAAACACTCAAGCTCTAAAATTTCCCACCTATCACCGATAAAAATGAATAAAACCACAGCACCCGCACCCGACTTCGCCCTCCTCGACCAACTCGCCAACGAAAATCCCAGCTACAAACTCACCAACGGCCCCAATAACTCCTGCAGTCTCATCCGCGACGACGGCTTCGGCAGCAAGTCCGACGACAAATTCAGTTTCATCCGCGATGCCAACGGTAAATTCAAACTTGTGAAGGATATCGGCCGTGATAAGATGGGAAACATTGTTTATGAGGTGGTTCCCACGCCCCAGAGGGAGAAGGGCCATTTTGCGGGGGGTGGGAATAGTTTGCAGGAACGTTTTGGGGGGATGAGAGGTGGTGGAAGGGGAGGGGGACAGAGTAGTCTGCAGGAACGCTTTGGAGGAATGAGAGTGTCGAGTGGTTTAGAAGGGACTGGGAGGGATAGGGGACAGAGTAGTCGAGGTGGTAGAGGGGGTCAGTTTGGACAGAGATCGATGAATAAAAATCGCGGTCCTGCTCCGATTAGGGAAGGACCAAGATCTCAACCTAAAGAAGTGGTTGGATTAGGTATCTTCCTCCCTGATGGCACTCTAGTTACGGGATTGCAGAGATCTGATGATACGCTTCTAGGGTTGCGCATGCCGTTCCAAGGACAACGAATAATGGTAGCAACCAGATTCAATCGCAGCATGGGAGTTCCGATGTGAGAGATTTCGGTCAAGAGCGTAGTCAAGTTGAAGAAAGTAGACCGCAAAGAGAGTTGTTTAACCCGTGGGACCCGAGGTGATTGTTTTGGTGAAGAAGAATGGGGTTGGATCAAAGAGACGAGGGTTTTGAATTAGATGATCATTTATTTTGGAGAGCGTGAAAGGGGCAATTAGGAAGAAATAGATGTGAGAGCCAGTAAAGCGCTTACGTTGGATATAATTCAGCTCTGTAGCTAAGAAGATCCCACCAACATTAGAATTACAATCCACTCCAAAGATGAAGCAACACATTCTCCAGAATTTAGAAAACGTTGGTATCTCAACGCCCAAACGCCGGTCTTCACCCATGATTGACCCCAAACTCTTCACCTCTAGACAACCACCCTAACTCATACCCATTACACATCCAAACCCTTATTGAGCCTCCCCCTCCCCCTCCTCACCCCCTACACAGCCACAGACGTAACGGCCGGCGAATTTGCATTCAAACCAGCCTCTTGCGCAACAGGGGCCGGAGTTGCGTCCTCATTCAAGCCTTCCTCACGCACAACAGTTGCGACCGGCGCAACCGGCGCAGCTTCCGCTTCTTGGACTCCCTCCTGGGCAACAGGAGCCTTGGTAGCCACCTTTCCCTTCTTAGCAGCCCTCTTGGCCTTGAATTTCTTGATATAGCCCGGTGCGTTCTTCTTGACCCAAGCGATGACTTTTGGGCCTAAAGTCTTTTTGGCTTGGCGGATCAAGGAGTTTGTCATTTTGGCGGTTGGGTGTGTTGTAAGTTTGTGGTGGTAAGTTGATTATGTAGTCGGCTTGGGAGTTGATGTGAAATTGAGAGTGATTGAAACGATCGTGGTGCGGGTGATAAAGTGAGAAATTATGACTGGGGAAGAAGATCAGGTAGATGTACGTTCTGAACAAAGGGATGAGGATGTTAAGCGAGTCTGGATGCAGTTTTCTTTGTTTGATGAATTCGTATGAGTGATAAGATAATAAGATAATTCGTTGCGCTTTGCGGCCTCAATTGTTGCGATATTGAGTAGTTTGATGAATGTCTCATTTGAAAGCATAACGAAGTGCGACTAGTGGGAATGTACTGCTTGCATTAGAAGATGTCTTAAAATAGCCTTTTCAAGCGAGAGTTGTATAAAAAGCCTCGTCGAGGAATGTGGAAATAGTTGGGTGTCACGTGATGAACCCCGACACGACGAAAGCTATCGTGCTCCTATCGCCGAAGAGCTACCCGGGAAAAGAAAAGTTGTTGGTCTAATTCTCATATACAGAGTCTTTTAATGGGTCTGTGCCTTTAGTTCCGAAAAGATTATGGACGCACGAGGCGGAAGTGCTGCGACAGACGGATAAACGAAAGACAAAGAGTATAAGAAAAAGCACAAGTTTGAGCTCTAAACATACGACTTGTATTATCGTGGTTGAACACTCACGACTTTTCCTCCTCAACCTCTCCTTTAACCTTAAAATCCTCCTTCTTAGGCCTTACTCCAAAAATCGTACTCCCAACCCTAACCTCATCACTCCCCATCTCAATCGCGCCCTCGAAATCCTCACTCATACCCATACTCAACTCGAGCTTGCCCTTTAGACCTTTCAGTTCTTTCTCCAATCTATCTCGTTCGTCTTTCAGAACCTTAAAATCCTCATTCTCTTCCCCTTCTTTCATTTCCTTACTTCGCGCAATCGCGCCGATTGTCATGAGGCCTAAGAGGTTTAGGGAAGGACAATTATCGAGAATATATTGACAGAGTTCGGTCGCTGGAGTGCCAGGAGACACGCCGGATTTGGATTCTTCGCCGGAGGTATTGAGTTGGATGTGGACGTTTAAAGGTGGGAGATCGGGGTGGCTCTCGCGGCCCAGGTTTAGTTGGGTGGCTTTTTTGGAGGAGTCGATTGAGGAGACGCAGAACAGGTTGGGGATTTGGGAAGCTAATGGTTTGCATTTATCTAGTGGGATGTTAGAAGGGAAACTTCATGTTACTTTGAAGGAAATTGGAGAAAGAGAATAAAAACACAGACTGCAGGTCGAACCGAAAAAAAGGCATGAAGAAATTGAAGACATCAACACAAACTTACTGCTCTGTAAACCCCCAATAAAATGCCACTTAATCTCCTTCGGCAACATCTTCGCCTTCTCCGTCAGTTCCTGCGCATAATTCTCTCCAAAATGCACCTGCTTAACATCTTGATCCTGATACAACGCCAAAATATCCGTCGCGGGTTTTAATTTCGAAACCGCTACTAATCTCACCTAAAAATATCAGCACAAAGATTTTTCTATGTTTCCGTTCCACCAAATCATTCTCATTCCCCATCATTCTATCCTCCATCTACTAAATCAAGAAGGATCATGGTCATGTGACTTACATTTCTCCCACCAGCACTCTTCGCAATTCGCTGCGAGACGCTTTGTAAAGCTCCGACTAAATCCTTGGCTCTGGTAGGATCGACTTTCATTTCGTCGCTCATTATGGGAATACAGAGTGATGGGATTGTGGGATGAGCCGTGGATTGAGGCTGAATTTGGTACGGTAGTGGGATTGCTGATGGATTGGTGACGAGATGATTTGGTGATGGGTCGGGACGTCGGGACCGGCTCGGAGTCAGTGTAGCCTGGTCATGTGACTGGTACGGGCCGGTTTTGTGTACTTTCCAGACTTGATGCATCAATCAATCACAACATCGACTTTTTTTTAGGCTTTCCTTCACAGTCAAGTCTTCAAGCTTTATCAAATCCATTTTATTATCGTTCCCATTTTGCGTACGCATAAAATCATGGTATCTTGAGATCCTGTCTTTCTTGCATTTCTTTCCCACATTCCTTACGTGTTATTTTCTGCTGTTGGATCTCGTGTGCGTTCTGTTCTGTACCTCAGATACCTGCATCTCCATCCTTCCACAGCTTCCCACGCCACAGTAGGCGCGGGGCTTGTATGACTTCTCCTTACTCTGCAAAGTTGTTTGTGGTTTGTTTGATGGTTGGCTTATTTGTTTGATTTGTCGGATACCTCAAGATATTTCTTTCGTGTTTTGCATTTTGTTTTGCGTGCCTGCCATTTTGGTTACTGAAATGGTGGTTCTTCTACTCAACCATGCGAAATTTGTACATCAGAGTTGATATTAGAGATCTGACGTGATCTGCAGTTGATGTAGGTCGACTGCAAGAATCATATCATTCTGACGTTTTGGTGGTTTATGGTACCTAACTTACACAAGATGACTTAACGTTAATCTCAAATATCTTTTTGCTCGCGAGCTTGTTAGTCATATTTCTCGTGTCAGACACAACTTATGTCTCTCAAGTATGAGGGACAGTAGAAGTCTTTATCGCTGCGGATATGAGCTCATAAGATCTGGTGGCTGTACGAGACTTTACATCTATTGATAGAAGTTGGTAGGAGCTGGCAAAAGCTTGATCTTGCGGGGCACTTACCATCCTGGTGATGTTTGGTAACTTTTAGGCATCGAATTGCAAATCAAGCATGGAAATCACACCGATAGGTGGGTTGTCGACATAACAGTTGCAACAAAAGGTTACCTCGAGGGACACAGCTCAACGATTTAAGTTCCTCTTGTGCTTCTGCACACAGTGAGCCACCGTGCTACAATGTTTGAGATCTCGACATGACGTCCGGTGCTGTACCGGACGAGGGAAAAAGAAACCATTTCCGGAATACAAAAGGCCTTGAACTACTGTATGACTAGAACGCGAACGGGTTATCGGCACCTTCAACTGGACGGAACCGAGGGATCTTACCGGCAATGGCGCAGTACTCCGTATGCCAACAACCGATTGTGTTGGCTCAATTCATGTAAAAACGACATAATAAATTCCTAGCCTACTCGTCTTACTACTCATATCAACGAATTAAAGAAAATCACAAAGTCAATTCCAATCTTCGCAATCTCCATCGCAATCTCTATGCAATGTGAAAAACCACCACTCCGTCATCTCCAACCCGTTCTGGATGTCTCAGCCCCTTGCAAATCGTGAAACTTGATCTTCTAGGAGTTCCCAATCGGAGATCTTCACGGGTCATTGCCGCGTACTCTTGGCATGTGAGCCGCGGATTGTTGGCATTTTACAGGCTGAAGTGGTGGATTGCAGTGACCCGTGGCGTCTGTTTCGTATTCTTTTTGGCGATTTCGGTCCCTGACAGGAACGCTAAATCCAGGGGTCTGATCGGAACCGCCCAGCCGCCCCTGCGCAGATTGTGACTGCAGGAGCAGGCGAACATTTCGCCGCAGGGGCAGGATTGTGGGAATTGAATACTCCGTCGACTCCAGCTTTACTCACAATTTTCTTTTCTCCTTTGACAACACCAACATTGTTGTATTTCGAGGATATCGCTAGTTTTCTTTCTGCGTTTTTCTTTTTACTTTTGCGTAGCCAACATTCTGGCATTGGCTTCATTCTCTTAGTCTGCCGGGCCTCGTGTTCTGCGCTTCTAGCTTTTCTTAGCTTGTGGAGAAGAAAGCATCATCTTTCCACCAAACGTAAGCGTGTTGGGAGAAAGAACGCTCGATGCGGACCAACAGTTCTTGACGACCAACGATTATAGATATAAACAATAACGATTTCAACTATCTCCTATTATATACAAGGCTTCAATTTCACCAAATACTCGATTTTACTCAACCATTCTTCTTACAACATTCCAAATTTTCACTTCACAGCTGGTGCTTTGGAGACGCTTCGTTCCATACCCACGACCATCAATACAGCCTCCACGGCAGTGGCCCTCGGAGAGCCAGCGGAGCGGCATTCGTATAACTGCTGTATCATCGTCATTCCTACCGAGTCATACCTCTCACCTTCGGTCGATCGCTAGAATACATCCACTCGGGTCCTACTTTCCACATTTGTACTGCCATTCCGACCTTCAATGTCATTACGTTCTCCACGATCACCCATTTCCTCACCCAACGATTTTTCACGGCGAGGTTTCCAACCTATTGCGAATAATAACAACGACACCATGGATATCCCCCTAGGCAGTATGCCACGACGATCGCAGTCTTCACAAGGAGGAGCGAGGAGGCAGGGAGAAGGAACCGATCTGCCACAGGAATTATCGCAGACGACGACATTAAATTCTGAAAAGAAAGGCTTCTTCAAACACAAAAATCCCATCGCGGGCAGACGGAAAGATCCCAAGGCGATTCAACCTCTGCGGAGAGGCACAGATGGCGAGGAGGTCTCAGTCAATAAAATCGGGCGATTCTACAACAAAATTGTCAATTTTTCCATCATTACTCGATACTTCGTCTACATTTTGCCTGTCAGTATCGTGCTGGCAATTCCAACTATTATCTTTGGCCTGCCAGAGAATCGAGATAAGCTTCTTGGGACTACAAAAATGAGGGCATACCTATTTTTCCTCTGGTTGAATATTGTTTGGCTTTCGCTTTGGGTCTCGAAATTATTCTCGAAGATCGTCCCTAGTATCTTTATCGCTTTATGCGGAGTCGTCAGTTCGGGAACCAGAAAATACGCACTCGTTTTGAAAGCTCTAGAAATTGAGCTCAGTCTCGTGGGATGGGCTGTCACGTCTCTGGTCACTTTCACTGCTTTAACCACTGACTCTATCAATGGTCGTGCCGGTGGAACAAAAGCACATTGGCAAGATGTTGTTCGAAATCTCTTAGTCCCGGCACTTGTCGCGACTGTCCTTCTACTGGTAGAAAAGGCAGTCATTCAATTCATTAGTATAAATTACCATCGACGTTCTTTCGACCAAAGGATTAAGGAATCCAAACATAGCATTCATCTTCTTGGCCTGTTGTACGACGCTTCACGGACACTTTTTCCTACTTACTGCCCGGAATTTAGAGAGGAGGATTATATCATCAACGATTCTATCGAGGCCGTCCTATCCAAGAATGGCCATCGTCGCTCCGGATCTGCCACACCCCTGAAGGTTCTTGGCGATATTGGACGCATTGGTGACAAGGTTACTTCGGTTTTTGGAAATATCGCATCGGAAATCACTGGAAAGCAAATCCTTAACCCAACCGCGGCACATTCGGTTGTCGTTGAAGCTTTGGAAAAGACAAGATCTTCTGAAGCATTGGCTCGGCGACTCTGGATGTCCTTCGTTGTTGAAGGTCGCGATTCGCTCTTCGAGGATGATCTCGAGGAAGTTCTCGGTCCTTCTCGACGCGACGAAGCACAAGAAGCATTTCACTCTTTGGATGGCGACGGAAACGGGGATATTAGTTTGGAAGAGATGATACTCAAAGTCGTTGAAATTGGACGTGACCGAAAATCTATCGCTGCAAGTATGCATGATGTTGGTCAGGCGATTGGAGTATTGGATAGTATCCTTGTTGTCGTCTTGACGGTTATCATCATTTTTATCTTTGGTAAGTCGCTCATATTTCGGCGTTGACCACCGCTAACACTTTTCAGTTGCATTCCAAAACGCAAACTTCGTTACTACTCTTGCTACGGCTGGTACTACTCTACTTTCTTTATCGTTCGTTTTCGCCGCTACCACTCAAGAATTCCTTGGTAGTTGTATCTTCCTTTTCGTCAAGCATCCATTTGATGTTGGAGATCGAGTAGATATTGTCGGTCCAAATGTCGAACATCTCGTGGTTGAGCAGATTTCACTCTTGTACACACTCTTTAAACGCATCGACAACATGAAGATGGTTCAGGTCCCAAACATTGTACTCAACAATCTGTGGGTCGAAAATGTTACTCGTTCGAAGGCAATGAAGGAACAACTTGAAGTGGCAGTATCGTTCGATACGTCGCTAGAGGATATCGAACTTCTGCGAACAGAAATGGAAAGCTTCGTTCGCCATCCAGACAACTCTCGCGATTTTCAACCTGATTTCACCCTCGAAGCTGCTGGAGTAGGCAATATGGACAAGCTTGTATTGAAAATCGAAATCCGACACAAATCAAATTGGCATAATGAGACTGTCCGTGCTGCTCGGCGTTCCAAGTTCATGTGCGCACTTGTTCTCGCTCTTCGAAAAGTACCGATTTATGCACCAGGTGGTGGTGGAGAGGCTCTAGGAGGACCTACAAATCCTGGATATAGTGTTGCAATCACAGATACATGGGCAACCGAAGCTCGAGATAAAGCCAAGGCAGCAAAAGAAGCAAAGAGACTGGTGCCTACCGCACCAAAGGGTGAGGAAGTCGACCACGATAAAGAAGCAGCAGAGAATATGAACGCCCGTAACCCATTAGACGATGCAGCACACGGCACAAATAGTAGTTGGACCAGCTCGCGAGATGATCAAACCCTCGGCGACGACATCGAAGACCGCAAACGAGACTCCGAAATCAGTCAACTCAAAGATGGACTCATGAAGCGCAAATCCACACGCGGCCGCAGACGAGCAGGCGACCACATTCCTGTAGTCGACACTCAAAGTCAGCCCAACATCTCCGTCACCTCTCCTCAAGCATACACCTCTAGCTTCGGAGCCAATGACCTCCTAGACGAAGAAGCGGAACTGGGTATCCATTCAACTCGATCCACAGGGCCGCTGGATACATACGCCCAACCACCAGCGCAATATAGTATGTATCCACCACAGTCTCAGAGCACGCAGTATGCGCAGTACACACAGAATCCGCAGACAAATTTGCATCCTATGGCCAGCGCGCCGGCGGTCGTGCAGCAAGCTGGTAGTTCTGCCTCAGTGCCGCCGCCGCCGAGGGCTGGTGGTTATGGGCCTGGAAATGGAGGTCCAGGTCGCGCGAGTTCCTAAAGTGAAGTATGATGTTTGAGAATTTTATTGATTTTCATGAATTTTTGCCCGTAATATGGGATTGAGCATCTGTTAGCGTGGTTTGGGATTGGGAATATGGGGGGTTGAATGTAAATTTGGGGTGGGGAAGGTGTCAAAATGCTTTATAAATTTGCAGGGCAGCTTTGAAAAGTAGTGGAACTTTAGATGTGGATGGAGACGTGGATATGGAGGGGTTTTCGTCTGTATATATTGTGTAATAAAGATTTACATGTTCTTCAAACATATCCTTGAACTCTCAAGATGGGATTCTGGTTGTGTGAGTTCATGTCGGGACTTAACATCGCCGAGGGAACTTGCTTTTTTAAATACTTCGGGTGTGGGGATTCCCCTCTTGGTATCTTGAAAAGAAACACAACTTGCCAATCATTGTTTGTGTGCAGTATGTGGTCTGCAGTTATGTTTTTGCGTGGTCTACGGTACAGCGAGAATGGATGTGTTAGATTGATGGGCGAATGTGGGAAAGTGATGAAGGTTGTGTGTCGTATCTGGGATTGGAGAGGGTGTTGTCACCGAAAATTTAGTTGCTGCCGATTTGAATCAGATGGTGGGTTCTATTGTTCCTTACCTGGATGATCTGTTGATCATGTTCGGGTATTGAGCTCGCCTTTAGGGTTCTTCGTGCCCTTACATGAAGCAATTGTCAATTCGTGTAATTGTGAGACGATGTTCGAAAGAATATTGTTGCTTGGATAGAATAATGAACTCTATTCGATTTGGAGATGAACCGACCATGTACTTGAGATCATTTGATTTGGGAGGAGTGTGGTAAGCATACCATGTTTTCAGTCAAATGAGTCGCGACTGCCAACTTTACCCAACACATTTTCCCGCTCCTTCTCCTGTATACCTAGAACTAAATAACAATCAGGTACATGAGGAAAATTTATAATTATTTACTCACATGAGTCCAGATTCTACCGAATAGCTCTCCTGTTGTAGAAAGCTGTCCAGCCAAAATCTCTCTGTCTCTCTCTGTCTCGCTCTGTATGTGTGTGTCTTGTGTGTGCAACATGGGGGTTTTGAGAAATGTGCATAAATGGAGTGAGTAGATAAGATGGGTTAAGCCTGCCCGGTTACGAAAATTGAATTTTTCAGGGGAGTGGAAATATGGATTTGCGGGATTCTGAGATGAGAATTGGTGTGAAGAAGTGGGAATAACTTTGGTGGTCGTTCGGTCGTCAAAGACTCTGTCTGTATCAGTAGAAAAGAGCTTTCGAAGGTCTTCTTTGGTTTTTGAAGTGGAGTAGAAACGTCTCTGGTGGAAACACGATTAAAATATCTCACCAACCTCGTTCCCAGGAACGTTGTACTCTAAAACAAATGAAAGCACTTGAAAACACCCCAGGCTTTTACGACAATGAACCACTGAAACTTTTCCTTTGATGTGACCTTGCCAGACTCAGTAGAGGGGTCTGAAGTGATAATGGATGACTGCGAATTGTGTGAAAGATAAGTGTGTTATTGTACGTTAAAAATTTAAGTAGTGAAAGTATTGTACCTGGTTTTGTCACCGAAACGAAGCTTGCTGCCGATTTTGAAATCGTGTCGTGGATGTCACTTGACTTCTGTTGATAGGGGAAACCAGAAGGGTTTGAAGGCCGATGGGTTGGGTTTCGTGATGTGAGGATCTATATCAGTAGCCTAGTAGGCTTTACTCAAACCTGCGGTCTGAGCTTCTTGGAGAATTTTATACTCCCGTCAATGATGAAATCGACGTTTGGTTTGGAAATATATCTTTGACTAGAAATCTTTGTAACCTTTAATATTTAAATGACAATGAAATCGAGCGTCGTGCTAGTAAGGCAACTTTTAGGATTTTTGAGATCCGTTCAGAGGCACTTTCGAAGGTCTTGGCACATTTTATCGTCGAGTAACATGATTAACAATATACCTTCAATATCTAGGTCTAGGAAAAGATTGGAACTAGATTTCTGTAGAACGAGTCTAGGGTCCGTCAAGATACGGTTCAGGTACATCCTCCGAAGCCGATCAGGATTACACTGCGTAAGAAGGGAAGCCAGATCTGGCTTCTCCTATATAATGAGATTGCGAGCGATATGGCAAAGATGCCACAGCTGTAGCGGTCAGTCTATTACTAGTACACGCCACGTTAGACTTACACAATATGCTCGAAGTACTGATTTGCCTCGTGTAAATCACATTTTCGAATTCGCGGCGACAAATGTGTACTAGACATTTTGTTTGCGTTCAAAAAACTGGAAAATGAAGTGTGATGGTTTGTAGAACTCGAACTACTTATAGTAATTAAGTTGATTTCTCTACATGATACAGTGATCGTGAAAGAATTATGGCTTCTTGTTCTACCTGCTCGGGGAAATTCCGTCATTAAGGAGTCAAAAACCAAAAGGTTGACGCAAAGTTGCAAAAGAGGGTATAAAGCTCTTGATCTTTAGTCTTGATTTGGGAATAACGAGAGAACATAGAGGAGAGTATCAAATAGTTGATCACATCAGTAGATACTGAAGTACTAGAATTCACTAAATATTATTGAGCCGACTATCCAATCAGAGAGTCCCGCTCTCCCCCAATTTTGCCGATTTTCCCCCTTAAACCAGCACTAAACTCAATGGTTTATATCTCTAAACAACGATTTTTACACTAACCAATCAATGGTTTATAAATCAAAAAGATCATTTTTCCATTAACCAATCGGTTATATATTTCAAAGGACATATTTGTCTCAACCAACCACGGTTGGGAAAAAAAATCACAACCTTAGATCCCCACAAAACCTCAAGAACCACTATCACTTAAAAAAAAAAAATAAGGTCCGGGTCAACCTGGAGGTGGAAGGGCGTTAAGTGATCGCCTCGCCTCCAAAACCTGGGGGGGGTGGAAGGGCGTTAAGTGATCGCCCCGCCCCCCAAAAACAGGGTGTTAAGTGATCACCCATAAATTTTTTGGGATTTTTTTCTGTGATGTGTTTGGTGTTTACTGGTTAGGTCTTCAAGAAGGTAAACGATACGATATATTGAATGTTGAAATTGCGAAGGATAGATTACAAACTTTTTGAGAGGTTGAGTTTTGTCACCAAATGTACTGTTGTCATTGAATCCGAAAAAGAACTAAATCCGATCAAGGGAGACATATATATTAGGCGAAGAAGCTCGAGTGTCACAGTGAGAGGCTTTTATAATTTGCCCTCAAAATTCAACCACGACTATTTAGTATTGATACATCTGAAACTTTCAATAGTTTCGATCCTTTTTTGTCGGCGACATGTTAGAATATGCTTTGGTGCTTTCATTGTTTTATGGAACCACGGAAACGTATTTGAAGAAAATCTTAGTAAAAGAGAAAGATTAAGGCTGTTGGACGTGTACATTTTATGTTTTGGGTGGCCTCTTCGCTTGAGTAAAAACGCCGACCAAATTATGGTAGATAATATCAGGCGACTCAACCGTTCAGATACTGCGATATGTATATGCAAGGAATCCGACTCATGTCAAAGTTGTATACTCAAGTTTACTTAATAACAGTACCGACAATGTCGACAGTAATGGGGAACAAAATCTAGTTACTCATAGAATCTAATCACGCGATGAAAATGTTAAGCAAGTGTTAAATTAACTGACAACAATAGACGAAATACACGATATTTCGTTCAATTAATCCATTAAGTATTGTATTTTGACTCCTGATACTTTGTTCTACATGTGACTAGTCTCAACATGTATAGAGTATATTTTTGAAAAGCTGGAAGGTAAACCAAATGCAGTCACGTGATTGATTCAATCCCCATGATGTCGTGTTTGTTTCATTATTCCCTTCTAAATAATCACCTAAATAAGAACCATGGAAGTTTGAACACAAGATGTAATTAAGGGTTCTTGTTTACTTAATCCTCGCTCTACTCAATAGCACTGGAAAATGCTGCCCCTGAATTAAGCGAGCTCCAATGCTTAGTCACGGCGAGAACAATCAGGACAGTCATATGAGGAGAAAGAAAGATGTAATTAAAATAAAAGCAAACAAAACACAATCCAAAACCCAAAATACCCCAAACCCCAAAATTATATCATCTCTTCATCCTCGTCGTTATCAGGGATGGGGTAGCAGCAAGAGCCGCGGCAAGGCCAGCGGCAGCGGAAGCAGCGATCTCAGCTGCAACTTTTTCGGTCGCGGCGAGGAGGTCGAACTGATAAAACTCAGTAATTGAACCCACATATTGATTCAAACAAGTTGACGAAATATCAGACATTTCGTCAATTGTTCTCAGGAAATCAACTTACGAGAGACCTGACCTCGCCGGCCCGTTCTTCTTCTTTGAGCTGCTTTGCAGCAGCGGCCTGAGGTATTTGTTAGCATCATCGCAAAACACAAAAGTAGAAGAAGACTGACACTCCAAGCGGCTTCCTCTTCTCTCTGCAACCGAAGTTGCTTCTGCTTCAGATATTGGTTCTGTATAGATTAGCAATGAGAATCACTCAGAAAGGAAGAGGCACTTACGAGAGGAAGGCGATGGTTATTGTGATTTTTGCGCTAAATTGTTCATCAGCAGTGAGAAAACTCAATAGCAATGAGTTGAAAATACTTTGTTGATTCGAGACATGTTGGTAAGAGAAGAAAGAAGCGGACTTGAATTATTGGAATTGAATGAGAAAATTAATTGATTGTAATGTATGAATCGATGGCGACTTGAAAATCATCAAACAGAGAGGGGAGGAGCGACGGATAACGAAATTCTATATTACCAAATCGGCGATGAGTTGAAACCTCAGGTTTTCAGTATAGAGTGGGATACTACCCCTCTTGTTGAATGTTGATGTTCTTCTGGAGTCTAGTCCTTGCTAGTCCATTACACAAGCTCCAAAATGGCTCTGTTGCTGGTGTTTGACGGGTTAAAAGCACTGATTGGACTCCGCCTGTACCCAAATATGGATCCTCCAACAGATAAAATGGAAATAAACTTTTCAAACTGATGCTTGGATAGTCGATTCTACATAGCTCCGGCAGTTGATTTTACTAGCTCCGGTTCTTGATCAAAAGTGACCAATGTGAGGAGCCTTGAGTGGTTCCGAAGCTGATGCGGTGCAAGTGAAGTACTTTATTTCGAGCGAATCAACTGTCACCCAAAATGGGACGTGGTGGGGTTGAAGCGCATTTTTCATCGGGGGCAAAGTCATTTGGAAATAGCGAACATGTACACATCATCGGCGAGCCGAAAGTCCGCCAGTGATTCTGCTGCTCTATTGGAATTTTGAGTAGAAAATAGTTTCAGATGATACCAGAGCTGTAATGTTTTGACCAAAACAATATCCGATCTCATCAACTAGTGCTGTCATACGTTGCATTGTAATTTCAAACACATGTAACCACAAAGTCTTCCATCGACTTTTAGTCCCATGAACTTAGCGTCGGAGCTTTCCCTCCATCTTGCGAAGCCACGGGAATCCATTTTGGCTGAGAATGAACTCGATAAGGCTCATTTCCAGTCCAAGTGCATTTTCAGCCAAAATGGATCCGTCTAAATTAGATTTGATAATTCGTCGGTTTCAGTTACTAGATTGTTTTAATATAGTAAATAATTCTCAGACAAAGTTCGTTCTCAGTCAAAATGGGTCTGTTCAAATTGCACTCAATGATACAAGAGATTTCATCGTATCATTTCACTCATATAGTATCGATTTGGAGTCACCAGACTGATACCGCACACAAGAGTGCCTCATACTGTCATGTGGATAATTGTAAGGCATTGAAGATCTACCGTTATTCATTCGGGAGTTGGCCCATCTCCAAGGGTTGTAGGACGCATTTTCGAAGCGTACCTGGATTCATTTTGGCTGAGAATGAATTCACTAAGGTTCATTCTCAGCCAAAATGGATCAGTCAAACTTGATTGTGCGGTAGCATCACGCCGATCTGCTCACATAAGTCTAAGTACTTGAAGTATTTGCACTTCCTCCTTTGAGCCGTATGGAACTGATCCACAATGGCTGAAGATCTCTGAAGATCCTCAGACTTGTAAACCAAAGTTACAACCCATCTTTTAGAGTGATGCCATCCATCCTCTTTTCATATCTCGATTCCGATCAGATTTTGCTTGGCATTCTCATTGATTTCGTATATAACAGTCGTCCCCCTCGACCTTCAGACTCTCCTTTTTTCATCAGCAATAAACATCTTCAACAATTCGCCATCTCTGCCTTAAGTGACTTCAATAATCAAGACTTGTAAGCCCCTTTTAATGTTTTCTTTTGTTTACTCCTTTCCTTCCCCGTGTCCGAGCAAGTGCTCATCCCATTTGCCTGCTCGAGCAACTGGGGAGAAGGCTGTCTGCTCTCTGTCATTTCTGCTCGAGCGACTGGGGAGAAGGCTGTTTGCTCTCTGTCCTTTGAGGGTAGTAGTGATTGGTCTTCGATCGACACAACTTTCCTTTGTCACCCACTACTCAAAAAGTCCACTTAGCGTAAGCTAATGGGTGTTTATTACAGATTAAGTTCAAAACTGGAAATTTTTCATTGAGTGTCTGGCTTTGAGCCGGACCTCGAAGAAGTGTTCCGAGATTTTGCTTCTATTGATTTTGAATGACTTGTTGATCCAGTATTAGCACACTGGGGGTTGATTCCATATCCAATAAGCTTACCACAGGGCCTCCATAAAACTCTTAAACATATTACTAGTTCGCAGTCGTAACTCGTATTATTCAATTGGAAGTAGCAAAAGAAATGTCAATGTTTTATGAACTACAACTGAATCATCATTGGACTTGAAACATCAAATTGATTTGCAGCTCTCACCAAATTTATTCGTAAAATTTCCAGACTTTTCTGTCATTTGGGCATTTTGATTCCTGCGAGTGTTAAACCCAAGAGATAATATCTAGAATTCCGCCCACATATCTAGTAGCCGATGCTATTGTCCGGGACTGACTACTCTATATAAGAAACAATCGGAGAGAGCTATCTGAATGGTATAATGGAGGACAGACGTTACAAGTTTGTCAGCCAAGTGTTACAACTCACATCCTACCTGTGCGTTGTAAAAGCGACGAGACACCCTCTAACACAGAAACCATAGGAAATGGCCTAGGAACCTTTGGCACATCTGTTTCAACTAATGCAACTCCCCCTGCCGATAGAGGTAATCTGGATATTTAGTCAAACAGGCTGAGATATTCTAGCTTTTAGTTAGAAAATATCGTCAATCTAGACAAGGAAGAACCGTCCAGGATTCTAACACACACTGTGGTGCCTTGATCCGTTTTTTTGGAAATAACACTGATCATGCCCATTTACCCAAGAGTCCCATCAAAATCATCCCAGTTATCAAAGCTATGAGTGCACCCAGGGTTTTCAAAAGTGAAGCTTCCCTCAAACTATTTACCAAGTTAGCGTCTGCTTGACAGGGAATAACACCAAATCGATTTCGAGATATACTCACTCTCCAAACAACCAATCTCCAGCCCACATATCCACAAACCCAACCCATAGTAATATACCTGCGCTCAAACTGTCAAGTGTACCCAGAGCAACGATGGTGCTAGGATCATTGCCGTTGAAAGTGTTGAGAACTCCAATACCGATAGCCATACCAGTTGGCGTTACTAAAGCGAAAGCCAGAGGCAGGAACAGAAACTTTGTATTCCTCAGACGGGAAGAGGTAGTCGTGTCGATGGCAGCAATGCGAGCGCCGAGCGCTAGACCTTCAAACATTTGATGAAAAACGACGACGACAAAGAGCGTGATGAACACCGAGTCTCCAGCAACTACAAGTGTGATACCCAGTAAGAGGGAATGGAAAATAATCCCAGCTTCCAGCACTAGTACTGAGGTCGCATCGTTGGCGGGTGTTCCGAACGCATGGTTGTGGTGATGGTTTGATATGTTTGCTAGGGGTGGAGAGGATAGAATCCCTTCCATTTTATCTGGGGTTCCGGGCGCAGAATCATGGTGTTCTATTTCGGAGACTGTTGTTTTTGAGCGTCGCCAGTGTGCGAGACGATGAGATACATAATCGACCAAGAAGGCGAGGAAAGCGCCAGCCATTGCAATTGATGTTGCAGTAGCTTCGTACTTGAGTTCACCAAGGCACTCGTTACCGAACATGAGTTCTGCATGCGTAAGGAGCTTTGGGAATTAGCATACCTCGCACAGCAGGCCTTGGTACAATTACTCACGTGGACAAATCCTGTCGCAATAATCACACCCGTGCCAAATTGTTTGATTATGGTAAATATCATGCCCGAAACGTCGACTTTCAGGAGCTTCTTCAAAAGCATCGGCGCATAAACGGCTTGTATATATTAGAAAATCGGACAAAAGGAATTGGTAGACAAGTACATACCAAAACCGCTAGTAGCAAGAATCACAAACAAGAGTCCAACTCGAAGATTAATATTGTAGTCTCTTTCCTTTCTTTCGCAGCTCGCGGTGGAACCGCCAACGCAATGTCTTGCGTCAAAGTCAAATCAAGCTTAAATCAATTTAACAGAGAGGAAAGACTTACTCAACGCCAGCATGGAAGTGGCAATTTTCTCCATCTGAGTGCTCCGAATGTTCAGAGTGTTCATCAGATGCTTCGGCACTCTCCGCAACAACTTCAACCTCCTGTCCATCTGGAGTCATGCAGAACCTTCAATTTGTGAGAATCAATAAGTACGACGGGGCACTATACTCACATTTCAGTGTCACGTGAATGGCACCCGGTGTAAGCAGTCGGTAGAGGTGTATTTCCGGTCGCTGTTACAAGCACTCGTACTTCTTCGCCATTACCCTTGACACAAAATCTAGAATGGTTAGTAGGGCGTCGGCAGAATGTGTCGCCACTTACTGCGTGGTTTCGTGCATATGGCAACCCGTTATAGCAGTCGTTTGCGCGGAAGTTGTGGTGCTAGCAGCAACCGTTGGAGGTGCTGTAGATGTTGGAATGGTTGTCTCCAATGCTACACCATCAGGTGAGCCTATGGTCGTTTCTGCTCCTCCGGGCAGAAGACAGACTCTAGCATGAGGTAAGCATTTTGCCAACAAATCTAAGTGTAATTGATCTCACTCTTGTCCGTCGTGTAAGTGACATCCTGTAAGCGTGATTTGCGCTTTGATGTCTAGAGCAAGTATAGCGACAAGTACGGTTCGAATGAACATTCTGGAAAGACTGATGGGCCTTTTTTTGCGACTGGCAAGATAACAATACTTGTTGGTATCGACGAGCGCGACCCTTCCTCTGCTGTCTTTTAAAGAATTGAAAACAGATGCTGTGATTGTTTGAGGCTCGACTATTGCTAGGTTTTTGTTCAATCTGTCACAAGCATACCGCGCGCTTGGCAACCAACCCGTCGGCGGCATCCCAGGAGATCAACACGAAGCATCTTCAGCGTGGCGATACAAGAAGCCAACATGTGAGGGAATATCGGGTTCAAAAGTGTCATACCAAGCTATTGGAGAGTCAAGGTTTTGAAGAAGTGGGAGGAAAGTGCTTGGCCATACCTTGATGGGGGTGGAGTGAGCACCTGGATGGGTAGGTGGGAAGGTTGGGAAAAATAAATGCTGCATCTGGATGACTGCGGACTCGAACTAAGAACAGAGAAACCATGTTGACCTCGGGCAACAAGGTGATTGAGATGTAATGAGATCCACGGGCAAGTTTCTAGCGTTCTGTTGGATACCGCTGCTCGTCCGAAAACCGAGAGATCTCGGTTGAATGCGCCTTGTAGTTATTTGCACCACGCAATCAGATCCTGATGCATTTGCTACTTTTTGCGAGCAATACCTAGGTACTGTTGGCAAATGCTGCTGGTAGGGAATAATGTTGCGGATATGGAAAGTTTAGCAGCTCGCTTGAAGCGCGACAGCTATGAAGGGACCTACTACCCGGAGCCAACCCAAGCTTCGTTCGAAGTCGCAACCGCGGCATCTACTCCCACTCCTTGGAAACTCAAGGTCGGCTTCGCCTATTTGCCCATCGTGGAATTTACCCTTGGCATAAACAATAGAGGCCGCGTACCTGATAGCTCCGGCCGCAGAAAGCCTGATGTCCACTTCCGTACAGTCTCAGCTGCTTGTCCATACACTACACAGTGTGATTTAGAAATCTCGTGGAGTTCCAAGACCTTGGCCCGGGCAAAATTTTCTGGAATCTTGGAAACTGATTTGTCGATGTACCAGTATGGGATGAGGTAGGATAGACGCCACTGTCACGTCCTATTAGCTTAGTCTAAAGAAGAGGCAGAAAATATATTGAGAGAAGGTGAGCAGCATTGTATATTGAAGTATATAAGGGTCACTTGAGCTGCCGTTCATCGCGTATCTCATTTATCGAGCCACTTGCTACTTACCAAGATCCCTTTCTCCAAAATCAAGTCAAAATGGTTCCCATTACTGTGCTCATTGGGCTTTTTGTGTCGCCAATATTTGCCGCAGCACTGCCAGTACTTGAGAGAGCAACACCCCTCTCATTCGATGCCGGATCCATTCAAGAGCCGGTGGCTACAGCATATGATTGGATATCTGGATACGTCTCAGAATTTCCCATCCATAGCTCTTGCAATACCTCTGAGCGTGCTGAGATCTATCAAGGCCTCCAAGAAGCTGTACTAATAGCCCAGCATGCGAAAGAGCACAGTAAGTATTTGAAAGTCCGTGTCTAGTCCAAATACTAACAACTCAAGTCCTGGTCCACGGAAACAACTCCGAACTCTTTAAGAAATATTTCGGTGCCGGTCCAACCGGCCCAGTCCTTGGTTGGTATGATAAAATCGCAACCGCAAACCGTGCTGGTGTACTGTTCCGCTGCGATGACCCAGATCAGAACTGTGCCACCCAAGACAGTTAGTCACAAAGACTCCAGATTAATACGCGATGTACTCACAAGAAGTTTTAGATTGGGCAGGCCACTGGCGAGGTTCAAACGCAACCTCAGAGACCGTAATTTGCGAACTCTCCTACACCACCCGTTGGCCACTCGCAGCCATGTGCGCTCGCGGCTTTGACGTGGCCACGGGTCGAACATCCAACTACTGGGCTGGAGATTTGATGCACAGACTATACCATACAGACATCGTTGGCGAGGGTCTCGTTGAACACCATGCTGACGGATATCATGGCTGTGTTGAGCTGGCTGCTGGAGAGAATTATACCCTAGCTGCTAGCAACAGTGCAACTCTTTCGTACTTCGCCATCGAGGCTTATGCATACGACATTGCTGTCCCGGGCGAGGGATGTTTGGGTAAGCCAGTTGAAAAGGAAGATGATGGACACGGGCATGGCGCTGCAAGTTCGAGCTCAAGCTCAAGCATGACTGAGAGCACGACGTCTAGCACAACAGCAACGGCCGCTCCTGCCTCGACCACATCCATCAACCCAACGAGAGTTGTTCAAGTCCCGGCTACGACATCGTCAGCTACTTTGGCTCAAGAGACGGCTGGAAAAGAGTGTCACACTCACGCTGATGGAACATTACACTGTGTTTAAGACTGTTATAAAACTGAATTGTAAAGTTGCAAAACATGGAAGTAAATAGACGTCAGATGCAAAATAATGAGAAAAACTTGCTGGAAATGTGCAAGCCAAAGCTTCGTTCTTTGGATCATATCCTGACCTGGAAGACAGTGTAACTTTAAGCCTTTGTTAGGATTGTGACTAAAGGAAGACATGCAAACTTCGTAATGCATCCTACTCCGTGTCGTACGTGTAGTAACGGATACGAAACGTAAGAAATGGAAAAACAAATCATAAAATTACAAAAAGCCAGGCGCTTCCTGCTAGAACACAGAAGCAAGCAATCGAGAACCTACGGTGCAGAAAATTTAAAGATGCAAAAGTAAAGTGAAGAAATTTTTTGGAGGCTGCAGATCCTATTATTCGACGCCGAAGCCCTTGCCGTCTTATGCCCTAATCATTTTGTGAGGCAAAGACATCAATGCTACCCAGAAAATACAGCTCAATCTTTCAAAGACGAACCACTGCCCAGACTCACGCAAAATGCCTGTGTAATTTTGTGACAACATGGTATCATATTGGCCCTTTTTTTGAACGCCGTGGTGGTAGTAGATATAATAGTCGAATTTGCTAGTCTTTGCCTGGCTATACCGGACCAGTTTTCCATGTTAATGGGTTCAGCTCAGCAAAACTAGAATGACTGAGTCTCCGCGCAGGAACCTGCTAGAAGTTAGCAACTGGGCTACACCGTATGCTGTGCACTCGATCCTAATCGCGAAGCTTCCACTGCGAACACTTCACACTCACATCTTGCTGATAAATCTATCCTTGTTTACTGGCCTTCCCTTCTTTCCTGCACTGTTTCTTGGAGTTTCCGTCCACATTTCCTTCACGTTCTCCAGGACCATATTGCAATGCCTATCGAAAGCCTTCACCCGCGCAAGTAATTTGCGGTTGTTTCTGCAGGAAATGAGGACCTGCGCATGCGATCGAACGGCAGTTTGGAGGATGGAAAGAGGGCCCGAGGTAAATTCATGCTCTTCGAGCTGTGCAATCTCGAATTCCCTAAGTATATATTAGCTTGGTGTGCGTGGGTAAGGGAAGGGTAATGCGAACGTGAGCTCGGAGCGAGGTTTGGACAGAAGTTCCCTGTTGACATTGTCAGTATTTCAAAATAATAGCCACCAGCAGGAAGTGTTCATACGTGATCTTTGCTGCGTCCGCCATGGTGTTATATGTTGACCTCTAACACAAACTTGACTTTTTTTAATTGGTCGTATGTATGCTGATGATGGGCAGCTGTGACGGTAGATCTTTTTTTTAATCCAAATCGTATTACCCAGAGTATTCGGAATACTAGAAAAGCTCGGGAAGTCTCGAAACAAGAAAACAAGGCTGAAGAGTTGGATGCGCTGCGATCGCCTTGTGGATTGTCGTCCAGAATCAAATCGCGATAGCTCTCAAAACGGTTAGCGCCAACCTTATTTGCTCCCCAGTCGCATTGCCGTGGATAGGCCGACTGAGGCCGAAAAAAACAGCCCGAGGCAACCTCTCGCGATTTTGACTGGCGCTATTTACCCCATCTCTTTGTAGCCGGACATACTGATTGTTTTCCTATTTGTATGTGCTCTTAGTCTTTCTTTCCAGCTTGATGTTTGCAAAGTCTTTTCGTGCGGGTTCGGCGGCGCGCTGCTGTGGCTTCAAAAGTGCCGTTCCAATGCCACTGAGAGCGAAAGTCATCCATCCTGCTTTTGCAGGCAAAGCGCAGGTAAGTAGCAACAATCGGGAACCACTGGAATATGCTGATATCTGGTAGATGGCAACTGAAGCTAGCGGTTTGGACAGACGACACAGTGAGCAAGAAGTGATAAAAGAGCTTCCAGAAGACGAAAAGGAAGATGTATTATTCGATACCATATTTGGTTTGCGCACAATCGAGCTCAATCGGCCGAAGAAGCTCCACTCTCTCAATGGATCTATGATACGGAAGATACTTCCTCGATTACAGGAATGGGCGAAGTCTGATATGGCAAATGTGGTGCTCATTAAAGGTGTAGGAGAGAAGGCATTTTGCGCGGGAGGGGATGTTGCACAGCTCGCAAAGGACAACAAGGAAGGCCCTGAAGGCCAACAGCGATCGGCGGATTATTTCGGACTCGAATACAAACTCGATCACCTTATTGCGACCTACAAGAAGCCCTATGTGGCGGTGATGGACGGTGTGACCATGGGTGGTGGTGTTGGACTGAGCATACATGCTCCGTTCCGGATAGCTACGGAGAGAACAGTATTCGCTATGCCTGAAACGACAATAGGATTCTTCCCAGATGTCGGAGCCTCGTTCTTTTTGCCACGGATGCCTGGAGGGATGGGTACTTATCTTGCCTTGACGAGCGACAAATTAAAAGGCGTCAATGTATACTATTCCGGTATTGCGACACATTATATACACTCTTCATCCTTACCAGCTCTTGAGAGACGTCTTGCAGAGCTTCGCTTCAATGATTGGGACACAATGCAGCAACGTCTTGATCTTATTGATACCACGATCGAGGAATATACCACTGGACTGCCACACGACCAACCGATGCTCATCAAAGGAAGATTACGTAACACCATTGATCGGATTTTTGGGGACGAGGCGAAAACGGTAGACGATATTCTTTTTGAGCTCCGTCGAAGTGTGGCGAATAAGAATGATGATAATTGGCACCAACGAACGCTGGAAACGTTGGAGAAACGATCACCGACTTCTGTGAATGTGACCTTCCGTCAGATGAAGCTTGGCAAGAGGTGGTCAATCAAAGAAGCCTTCCAGCGTGAACATCAAATGGCTTCAAAGTTCATGAAGCACAATGACTTCACTGAAGGGGTTTCTGCGCTTCTCATCCGAAAAGATGGCAAGCCACAATGGGAATACAAGGACCTCCAGGCCTTCGACAGGGCCCAGAAGCGCTTAGGCACCGATCTGGTCGACCCATTTTTCGAGACTGAAGGCCAGCCCTTGGCACTGCTGACCGACGGCGATTATCGAACATATCCCTTCGTGTATGGCCTTCCACAAGAGAGCGCAGTGCAGGCCTTAGTGGAACAGAATACCTTGAGCACGAAGCAGGTCATCGACCACTTTGTGCAGAAGACACGCGGGAAGCAAGGTGTGCACGAGGTCTTGACAGACATAATTGACCGAAAGACTTATGCATCAAATGGCAAGGTAATATGGGGACAGCAGCCATCGCGAGTTGCGGATGCGTGAATCAAGTGAGAAGCGTTGTTGATAAGTTGTGAGATAGTGTAAGATATAAGAATGTGGCGACTCCACGGTTTGCGGTGTGACGGGAACATCACATAATTCTTGCTCTTGGACAGAACCTCAAAAGTCGTTGCGAAAGGATGGCGTCATGTGACCCAATTGCTTTCGTGTGGCGTATCAGCGTTATTGTAGCGGAGTCACAGATTTAAGCGCGATATCAAGAGGACTTCTGTAGGCGAAAAATATATAAAGAGCTACGACCCCGCTCAAAGAACTTTTTGTTGCGTCCCTTTTGGTGTGCTGCCTTGTCCCTTACTTATCTCACTGAACTGAGCCGAACCAAATCCTTGCGCGACACATATCGCTCGGCAGAAGGTTGTTCCATTCCGGGCGCTAGCGACGCTCCTTGCTTCGCTACGTCGCATTTGATTGGCACAATTCACCTATGGTCAACATTCACTCTGTACATCCTTCCATGACGACCTTCAACCTTTCAACAGTGAATAACGTGCAGATTTGTTTTATTTAATCTACTCTATAGACAAATTGACGACTTTCTTTTGTTTCTAGCGTTTTCTCCACTTGACGATACTTCCGGGAAATCTGATTTCGGTCGCGGTTCCGCCTCCATTCTCAACGCGTAGATACTTCGCGAGACGCGATTCAAACCTACCCGGCCACCATAATTCCAAGTACTTTTCCGCCTTGACCACCTCGACCGCTCCACTCCTCTACAAACCTTCGATGACTTCACGGCCCATACGATAGAAGTCCTCGTCACGCTCTTTCATATTCAAAATTACCTCTTTGGTATGTTTGCCAGGAGAGGCTCAGATGTCGTCCCCAGCAATGTCCCAAGGTCCCTCTTCACAGCGGACCAAGGGCTCGCAGGACTCTGCAACGGGCGAAACCACCGGCGGCAACGAAGATGGAGTATGTGTGAGGAAGATGAGACGTATGTACACAGAAGTATCCGATATTGGACTCGTCACCGCTAATCACAACCCCGTTTACAGTCAAGGTTCTTTATACATTTGACGACCAGAACAAAACCAATTGCCTGGCACGATGGCCCCACGTACTAGAAATACAAACAGTTGCGATGGACGAGACGACCTCGATTGGCGTTATCGAATTGAAGACGTGTATCCAAGCCATTGTTCAGTGCAGTCCGGAACTCGTCGCGAGACTAGGCCAGGATTATACCGTGTACGCGTACGATTTTTCGGAATACGACAATCCTCTGGTAGGACAGGGCATGCTCTCGTGGGCTTTGTCTGCTGCTTCGCCAACTCCGGACGGCCCAGCTCATCAATCGAACAAGCTTATCACTGGGCGCGTCTGTAAAAATATCTTGGGGCTTTTCTCAAACGGGGTTAAGGAGACTTTGGAGGTTAAACTACGTCTTGTTCCCGTACCAACGGTATTGCAAAGCGAATACATCAGTGCTATGGAAAAATACAGAGATTTGAGCAAGGTTGCGCCGCTGGGCCTAGATCCTAACGAATGGCTGTCGTTTGTCCAGTCAAATCCTAACCTAGCCCAACTCGCAGGCAAAGCTACACCTTTACCAAACATAAATCCTTCCCAGAACCATCATCAGAGGGATGGAACCAGCATGGAAGTGGTCAATCAATTACTCAGCCCGAGCTTGCAACACCAGCCCCTAGCAGAGCCTACATCTCAGGAAGATGTTGCAGTAGACACATCTGAGAGACAACCCAATAAGACGACAACTGGAGCGGCGAAAAAACCAGGACGACCAGCAACGAGAACTGCCATAAAGAGGACCAGAAAGCCACGTGCCTCCAAAGCTGAATCTGTGGGAGGGAATACCTCTGGGTACGAAGAAGGCACAGACGGTGATGACGGTCCGCCAGGCAGGAAACGAGCCAAGATTACCAAAGCCGATTGGAGCAGCAAGTCAGCAATTGGGGAAGGATCTGAATCACTGCGAGTCGCTGCAAGCACTGCGGGGTCCTTACGATCGTTTCGTCCCATCGCTGCAAATCCATCTGCTATTGCAGGAAGCCACCTTCAGGACGTCCCCAGAGCTCCAACCCCCGTTCCTCGATTGCCTAATCAACAAACTCAACACCAGAGAGCTCCATCACAAACAAACATGCGCCACAATTCCTTTTCCTTTCAGCCAGTCGAAGTCAGAAAACATATCTCACCATATCCT